TATTCAAGTTCATTTATTCCCTATTCTGGTGAAAGTTATCAATAAATAGTCAAAAAGTAAAATAGTTGAAGTCAGTAGGGGAGCATTTTATTAGTTGACAAAACATTTTTGTTTCTCACAGGAACGGAGATAATTGAACTTGAAAAAACCGAAATATTCAAGTTCATTTATTCCCTATTCTGGTGAAAGTTATCAATAAATAGTCAGAAAGTAAAATGTTTGAAGTCAGTAGGGGAGCATTTTATTAGTTAACAAAACATTTTTGTTTCTCACAGGAACGGAGATAACTGAACTTGAAAAAACCGAAATATTCAAGTTCATTTATTCCCTATTCTGGTGAAAGTTATCAATAAATAGTCAAAAAGTAAAATGTTTGAAGTCAGTAGGGGAGCATTTTATTAGTTAACAAAACATTTTTATCTTTCCAAGGAACAGAGATAATTGAACTTGAAAAAACCGAAATATTCAAGTTCATTTATTCCCTATTCTGGTGAAAGTTATCAATAAATAGTCAACAAGTGAAATATTTGAAGTCAGTAGGGGAGCATTTTATTAGTTAACAAAACATTTTTGTTTCTCACAGGAACGGAGATAACTGAACTTGAAAAAACCGAAATATTCAAGTTCATTTATTCCCTATTCTGGTGAAAGTTATCAATAAATAGTCAAAAAGTAAAATAGTTGAAGTCAGTAGGGGAGCATTTTATTAGTTAACAAAACATTTTTGTTTCTCACAGGAACGGAGATAACTGAACTTGAAAAAACCGAAATATTCAAGTTCATTTATTCCCTATTCTGGTGAAAGTTATCAATAAATAGTCAAAAAGTAAAATAGTTGAAGTCAGTAGGGGAGCATTTTATCAGTTGACAAAACATTTTTATCTTTCACAGGAACGGAGATAATTGAACTTGAAAAAACTGAAATATTCAAGTTCATTTATTCCCTATTCTGGTGAAAGTTATCAATAAATAGTCAACAAGTAAAATGTTTGAAGTCAGTGGGGGAGCATTTTATTAGTTAACAAAACATTTTTGTTTCTCACAGGAACGGAGATAACTGAACTTGAAAAAACCGAAATATTCAAGTTCATTTATTCCCTATTCTGGTGAAAGTTATCAATAAATAGTCAAAAAGTAAAATAGTTGAAGTCAGTAGGGGAGCATTTTATTAGTTAACAAAACATTTTTGTTTCTCACAGGAACGGAGATAACTGAACTTGAAAAAACCGAAATATTCAAGTTCATTTATTCCCTATTCTGGTGAAAGTTATCAATAAATAGTCAACAAGTAAAATGTTTGAAGTCAGTAGGGGAGCATTTTATTAGTTGACAAAACATTTTTATCTTTCCAAGGAACGGAGATAATTGAACTTGAAAAAACTGAAATATTCAAGTTCATTTATTCCCTATTCTGGTGAAAGTTATCAATAAATAGTCAACAAGTAAAATGTTTGAAGTCAGTGGGGGAGCATTTTATTAGTTAACAAAACATTTTTGTTTCTCACAGGAACGGAGATAATTGAACTTGAAAAAACCGAAATATTCAAGTTCATTTATTCCCTATTCTGGTGAAAGTTATCAATAAATAGTCAACAAGTAAAATATTTGAAGTCAGTAGGGGAGCATTTTATTAGTTAACAAAACATTTTTGTTTCTCACAGGAACGGAGATAACTGAACTTGAAAAAACCGAAATATTCAAGTTCATTTATTCTCTATTCTGGTGAAAGTTATCAATAAATAGTCAAAAAGTAAAATGTTTGAAGTCAGTAGGGGAGCATTTTATTAGTTAACAAAACATTTTTGTTTCTCACAGGAACGGAGATAACTGAACTTGAAAAAACCGAAATATTCAAGTTCATTTATTCTCTATTCTGGTGAAAGTTATCAATAAATAGTCAAAAAGTAAAATGTTTGAAGTCAGTAGGGGAGCATTTTATTAGTTGACAAAACATTTTTATCTTTCCAAGGAACGGAGATAATTGAACTTGAAAAAACCGAAATATTCAAGTTCATTTATTCCCTATTCTGGTGAAAATTATCAATAAATAGTCAACAAGTAAAATGTTTGAAGTCAGTAGGGGAGCATTTTATCAGTTGACAAAACATTTTTATCTTTCACAGGAACGGAGATAATTGTACTTGAAAAAAACGAAATATTCAAGTTAATTTATTCTCTATTCTGGTGAAAGTTATCAATAAATAGTCAACAAGTAAAATGTTTGAAATCAGTAGGGGAGCATTTTATCAGTTGACAAAACATTTTTATCTTTCACAGGAACGGAGATAATTGAACTTGAAAAAACCGAAATATTCAAGTTCATTTATTCTCTATTCTGGTGAAAGTTATCAATAAATAGTCAACAAGTAAAATGTTTGAAGTCAGTAGGGGAGCATTTTATTAGTTGACAAAACACATTACATCTTTCCAAGGAACGGAGATTACCGGAAAATATACGGAAAATTCAGAAAATTGACGGCAAATTCAGAAGTTTGACGGCCAAACTAGAAGCATTACCTTTTTATAATCAGAAAATTCTATCTCTCTCTCTCTCTCTTTTGATTGGCTGCATGTGCTAGACACAGTCCCCCCCCCCCCCCTCTCTCTCTCTATTTGCGCTGCGCCACTACGTCCTAATGCCACTACATCCTAAAAAAAACCATAAACATTTTTAACAAGTGCCTAGTGTCTGGTGTTTTCTGCGTTTCGTAATGGTACTGGGAAGAGTACACAAACGGACGGGCACGTCATAATAAAATGAGGAAGGAGAGGGAAAAAATATAATGGGGGGTCGAGGGTTGAAACGACCAAAATAAGAGAATGCTCTCTGAAATTCCGAAAATCTGAAGAACTATAATTTTGAATTTCGAAAGCTCACAAATAATAGAATTTTGGAAATCTTATTGTTCTAAAGTTATGTTTTCTTAAAAATTTGAGGGTTCGAACTCGTTAATTGCCTGTGATTTTTGAAAATGAAGATTAGTACATCTCAACTTTTATAAAATTTAAAAGTTCTAGAAATTGTTTCAAATGCGCGAAAATCACACACTTTGTGATAATTCCAGACTAGATAGAGATGAATTACAATTTGTTCAGCAAAATGTTCATTATTTGAAAATAGGAGAAAAAAGAAAAACAATTATTCAACCTTCATCGTTCCTTGAGAGCACCAGAAGAATTCCATAATCTGAAAAAACACGTTGTTCAGAAGAAAAAATTCTGGATTTTTCTAAGTCTCACTTTTTTTAAGAAACAAATTTGAATGAAAAATAACTAATTTTTTCATTTTCCAATTTTAAAGTCACAAGATGTAGTATTTTAGCGGAAAGAAAAAGCTACAGAGATGTTATGTGAGTTTTTACTTTTTTAGAATTCAGAATTCGATTCTTTAGTTCAACCGTTCAAAAAATGAATAAACCAACCCGAACATTGTCGTGAGCTTTCCATTCATGTAACCATACGAGCAGTGGAAATATCCAAAATTTTATGTATCGGAACTGAAAAAAAAACTAATAGAAAAAAATGGGTAGGTGAACAAACCAGTTTGAAAAATCCAACTGGTTCATCTTTGAGCGTTTCCTCATTCTGGAACCATCTACAAGTAAGGAAGTTCAGAATAACTTGGAAGGTGGAGAGTTGGCTGGGTGTGGTCAAATCGGCATCGGAAGAGTTGGTGAGCAAATTGATGGTCTGGAAAGATCTTTGGTACTTTTTGGTGTGATTCACGAATTCCCCATTCCTGCCCAATTAGTCTCAGAACCTACAAGAGCTGTCGAAAAAATTAAATTGAAAAGTGGGTTTGATGAAATGTTATCAGTAAAATTTCCAAAGATTTTTTGACGCTTTTTGCTGCCGCATTCAGAAAAAAAATACATTTGAGGTCAAATTAAAGATAAACTTTTCACAATGCCACTTACAGTATCCTCCTTCTCCTTCGCTCTTCTTCTCAATTTCTTCATTTCGATTCCATCAGATGATTGAAGAAGTCTCCGAGATGAACGTTTCATTTTCAAAAATCTCCAAGATGCTTCCTGAAAATCGGAGGAAACGATTTTGTGAAAACTGTGTCGTTTTTGTTTCCTTATATGCAAACACTCTTGCAAATGTATGGAAAATAAAAACTGTGTTGCAATACTATCCCGCACACTTTCTCAAAAACTGTCCCGCAATGAATTGGGAGAGCCATCGCTATTGAGAGAGAAACATTCATTGTTTGAAATGGTGATGTATAGGTAGACTCGGGGAAAGATAGAGATTTAAAGATAGAAATTTTGGTTCTAGAAAGATTTCAGTTTAGTGCGTCATCAGAAGTGATGACTGGTCAGTTACCGTATTTGTTCTAAAAGAATCTTACACAATACGTGTACTTTGAACTCTATTATCTCGGTTCCTTCGAAAGATATTGGGAAATTTTCAATTGATAAATTATTCATCGTAATATCACTAATCTTTTATCTGTTGACAAATTTTTGATACTTCTTATAAGAACCTAGATAATTGAGCTCAAATATAGAAAAAAGGTTTTCGCTGCCATGGCCACGGTTTCTCATTGTGCTGGAATTCAAATTCTTGTTTCTCTTCAGTATCTTTTCAACATAATTTGTCACTTCATCCACTGTTTTCAGGGTATTCGGATTTATTTTCAAACTTTTCGAAAAATGTAAAATAATTAAATACTTTTGAATTTTTGGTGTTGAATCTCGGATGACTATAAATCCGACCCCTTTTTTCAGGAATCTCATTATTTTCTGGGAAAAATTCAAAAATCACTCACCTTTCAAAACGAAATAATATTCAGAAAATTAAAAGCTGAAAACCTCCAAAATCCACTAGAAAGTTTCAGGAATAATTAAAAAATACATAGAATTTTCAGAAAAATAAAGGAGAGTTTGACGTCTTTTCTGTCAAGTCGTCTTGTGGAAAAATGATGGAAGTATTTGGCCGCGGGGACACATTGTGTGATTTCCTCCTTCTCTTTTTCTCTGTGTCTTTTTTCTCTCTCTCACTGTGCACACATAAAATGGGTCGTACGAGGAGACACAAGAAAGGTTTTCAATTTCCTATGCGTCACCAGAGGAATAAAAAAATTTGGAAGTTTTGACAATAACTTTTATCATTTCCAAAATTTCAAAATGATGTTTCTGTATTTGCATCCCTCAAAACACAAGCTTCCTCATGAGGCCAAATATGCATATGATCGGAATGATTTGACACTGATATGAACGGCTGCTACAACGTTCTGAAGACACAATTTTTCAAAAGAGGGTATAATTTTTCTTTCCGCTACCGTCTTTAAACGGAACGTTCACGTTTCAACGGTGCTATTTGAGTGCTTTCTGAATTTATTATTGGAATTTTCCGCAAAGACTACCAAACAAGAACTATTTATTGAGATATTACTCAAGAACACATATAACAAAAATCAAAAAAGTAATCAAGACACATTCATTTGCGAAGAAGATCACAGAGAAAGAATAATACAATTTAATTCGAAAGGTTCCCTCTTGATTTTGTGCACCGTGTATGCGGAAATCCATTCTTTTCATGTTTTGTTTTTTCTGAAGCTTCTCGACTTTGGCGCAGTGATCCAATCAAAGTGTTCTCTCGTGCTGAGTGACATGTTGCCACGCTTCCGCTGAAAAAAACCTATTATAAAAACCGACTATTACTACATGACTTACCAAAACTGAGATGGGAGTTTGGTTGACAAGTCTTGTACATGAACAAGTCCAGGAACAAACGTGGACACTTTCAGATTGAAGGAGAAGACGTTTAGATCTGAAAATGTAACACTTTATTGCAAAGAACCTTAACCGTTTACTCACCGACGTTTTTGATTTGTTCCTCTCGATGGTATCACAGCATTCATTGCCTAACCGTTTTTCGAACTCATTCTTCATATCATAGATAAAAGTCCAGGAAAAATTTTGGTTATTTTACAGCCTACAATTATTTTTAGTAATAATTAGAAATACATAGAAACATATACAAAAAAATATGGGAAAGTTTTCCAGAATCCATTTACTTTTAGGATTTTCTGGAAATCTCTCGAGGAAATTTAGACGTCTATTCGGTCAAGTCGTCGTGGGGAAAAAATGGTAGAAATATTTGGCCGCGGGGACACACGATGTGGTTGCCTTCCTCTCTTGTTCTCTGGGTCTCTTCTCGCCCTCACTCACTGGTCACACACATAAAAAGGTTGGCCGTACGAGGAGACATGAAGGCGGCCTCTAATGTTGTATGTGTCACCAAGTAAGAGATGAGAGAAACAGGGAAGAAGTAAAGATTTGAGAATAGCTTTTATCGTTTCTAAAATTTGAGAGTAATATCTATATTTTTGCTTTTCTTGAGACAAGAACTTCAAAATTAATCCAAACATGCATAGTAAAAAATTCAGTACATGAAAAGGTGAGCTAAAATTAGATCATTTTAGAGGAAATTTTCAAAAATAAGTAACTATATGTGGTGAGATTTGTGATCTCCTGAAGCTGAATTCCCGAATGGGAGAGTTTCTTAATTTATAAATTGCAACGTTTCCAAACTTGGAAATTTTCAAATTTTTACTTTAACAGCCATCTGCTTGTAGTTTTGGCCATTATACGATCCGACAAAAGCGTATTTTTTCAATTTTCTTCAAATTCGAGAAACTTTTTCTCCTTGATTGAATATGAGAACAAAAAGGAGGAAAGTCTTTCTGGATGCATTTTTGAAAGTACTAGTCAGATGCGGACGGGAAAAGACGATCTCTGTTTTAGGATAATTTCTAGGCCACCGTCACGTAGAAGTCGTCCTCGGTGACGTTGTCCTTTTGTATATTTCTGCCACATATTAGTGTGGCAAACCAAAAGAAAACATTGGAAAAGCTGTTTTCCGGAGACTGTGCTATTCAAGAGACGCAGAGAAAACCGACCGTGATGTTAGAGAATACATGGAATGACGGAGATGCAGAGAAACGTTGCGTAATCGAGTCTCTTCAATGCCTGTACATACATATTCCCTCATTTCACTTTCACGACGACTTACTGAATAGACGTCCAAATATTCCCGAGAACTCTCCAAAAACCTTTCACATGAATGGATTCTGGAGGGTTTTCTCTTATTTTCCTGACTATATCTAATTCCACTACTATTTATTCTTCAAGAAACTTTATAAATGAATGGAATGTTTCTTCTATTATTGATTTTTTTCTAAAAGCAAAATGATGAGCTGGAAAAGTGAGTTTTTATTCATTTAATTTAAAAAAACCACCTTTTTTCTAGTTTTTCAAAAAAATCTCTTTCTTTAATTCAAATTTTCTCAAATAATTATATTTCATTCAAATTAAAATTTTCTAGGTCGTCGAACGACATCGTCGAAATTGGACACGTCTCAATGAGCAAGAAAGAAGGCTGAATGAGAATTTGGTGAGATTTTTCATTCAAATATTTTTTTTAGTGTGCGATCCGCCATTCTAAACCTTTGCATTGTCGGCCGGGTGGTGCCCGGGAAGTGGTGGGCGTTTAACCGCGCAAGGTCTGGGATTCAATAATTCTTGGTTCCTTTTTCTTTTTGAACTTTTTTTAGTGATACTTAATTCTCTAATATCTTCCTAGTCCTAGATGAACACAGACTGAAAATTAATTTTACCAAGTTTATCAATTGTTTCCTATTACAGCAATTTCTCAACCAAATAGTGAAATTCCATCTGCCTCCTTGGTCCGGTCTGTCAATTCTTCCACCACTTCCCAAAGCCCCTCTGAATGAGAGAAAATAAGGGGCCAGAGATTTTGAGGAACTGCTTCAGATGATCGAGGACCTGGACTACGAGATCACTCTTGAAAAAAAATCGCGGATTCTTTGACGGGAGGGAATCTTTCCAGCGGCTCGTCCGGCACGCAATCTAGACCAGTTATGTGAAAGAGTCGACCAGCTGGCACAACTTCTGGCTCAAATTGTTCCGGCTCTGAATGCGATGATTCATTAACTGAGTCGACAGATTCTAAGGATTCGATAGATGAATGCTCTCTTCAAGACCAGCTATTTTTGAGATTTTCTTATGCTAGCTACGCTGTTGACTGGTCAGTATATGGCATCTCCGTCTCCTCCCATCTTCCCAACACCACCCAACTCACCATGAGACAAACTCGAACAGCTGCAACAAACGACAATTAGGAGAAAACAGACAGCAGAACGTCTCCAGTGCATTGTGAACACCGTAGATCTGTTTATGAGCAAGACAAGTCTCGATAAACAAATAAGGTGCGGATATGATCCTTTAGACCTTTTTTAATATGGAAATTTTAGTGGACGGTCTGCAGAGGTTAGCAATATTAGGACGAAGGTGTGGAGGAGAATTCAAGAAGAAACCAACGTTCAATTCAATTCGTTAACACCATACAACTTGGTTCAGGTGAAAAGGCTGTTTCGAATTATAACCGTCGGAAAGAGTAAGTGGAAATGGAAAAAAAAACTGAAACAGCTATTTTCTATTCTAGGGAAGCAAAAAACATTGTCAGGAACAAAAAATATATTACGAAGTTAGAAGAACCGCCGATTCGAGAGAAGGCTGTGATGACGGCAGATCCTTGGGTAGCTGAGATGGATGTGGACGATACTCCGATTTATGAGGATACGGATGATATTCAGACATTCCAGGATAAAAATAACCATGCCAGTAAGTTTGAAACTTTGTAGGCTCTTTTTTGATTATATGCCAATGAACAAAATCATTTTTTTCTTGTTTCAGATTCAATCCAAAATGCTGCAAGATTCTTGATAAGCTTAATCCCAAATACTGTTGGCTCCAACACACCGTCTGCATTTTCATCCCAGTGCTCACTCATTTCTTCGTCTCTGATATAATAGAAAATACTGTATACATGAATGAAACTTTTTTTCGAAGTTTTGCTTTTTTTTGAAAGATGAAACTATGAAACTCAAAGGTTCCGAAAGTCCGAAAACGAGAGGTTCAGAAATTCTGTAAATCGTCAGAAGTCTCAGATTTTTTTGCGATATTTGAATATCGGAAACTCCAAATTCAGGGATTCATCAACTCACCCTGGAATCGAAAATTATCAAATTACCTGGTCTTTCAAGTTAGAAATGCTCAGTTTCTCGATTTTCAAAGTTCGAATTTACTGAACTTCTGAATTCACAAATTTTTGAATTCCCGAATGGAAGAGTTTCTTGATTTATAAACTCCTACGTTTCCAAAGTTGGGAATTTCCAAATTTTTACTTTAACAGCCATCTGCTTGCAGCGCGTTCGGCGCGATTTACCCTCTTTTTTTTCACTGGTTTTTCAAAAGCGGTCTGACATCAGGACAGACAGACGCGTGTAGCGTTTGTTTATATGAAAAATATTCATTCAGAGTTATTCAGAAGTCTTCAGTAGTCTTCAGAACTTTTGGGAAATTTTCAGAAATCTGCAAAAGTTGTCAGAAGTCTTCAAAAGTCAAAAATAAGAATTACAAGACATCATAAGCTATTTTGACATCAATGACAATGCACATTGAGCATTGTGCTTTTGTAGAAGAGCAAATACCAAAATTGAGCAGTGTGTTTCTGTAGAAGAGAATTTCTGTAGAAAAGCAATAGTGGAACATTGAGCTGCAGCAAGCGAACTGAAAAATAAGAGTTTTCAGTAGATCTGGAAGTCTGAGAATCATGGGATTTAGGATCCGAAATCTTAGCTATATTTTTAAAATACTCACCCAATTCCGAACAATAACCAGAGCATCCGACTTTATTTGAGGCGACGATCAACCTTCAGATTCCCCCGACGTTATCGTTGACCATCTTGACGCTGATAATGATTCTTCAAACACTGGCATAAAAGCGAAACTGAAAAAATCGTTTCTGGCATTCCTGGTACTCCAAAAAAGAACTCACCAGGTTCAAAACAATCATCAAAGCATCCGATTTTTTTTGAGATGACGATGAATCTCCAAGTCATCTTGAAGTTGACTTGGTCTTCCTGACAATGGAGTTGATTTTCTTGACATTGACGTTAATGCTGAAAGCATGCTCATGGCATTCCAGGTATTCCAAAACCAACTCACTCTATTCAGAACAATCACTTTAGCATCCTACTTGATTTTAGATGACGAAGAATTTCCATATCTTAGCGACGTTGGGTTAGAAGCTCCCGACGTTGGCGTTGATCCTCCTGATGTCGGTGTAGAAGCCCCCGATGTTGGCTTTGTAGTTTCTGACAATGGCGTTGATGATCCCGACCCTGACATATAGGCTGAAAGCATGTTTTTAGATTTCCAAGTACTCTAAAAAAGAGCTTACCAGATTAAACTCAATAATCTAAGCATTAAATTTTGTTTAAGATGACGTCAAACTTCCAGATACTCCCAACATTGACATTGATCCTCCCGACGTTAACGTTGATCTTCCTGACGTTGGCGTTGATTCTACAGACATTGGCATAGAAGCTACCGACAAAATCCCAAACTGTTCCAAGAAAAAATACTCACCAGATTTAGAACTACCAAAGCATTAGACTCCATTTGAGACGAAGATAAACCTCCAGACCTTTTCTTGGCTTACAAGCTCCCGACATTCGCGTAAAAGCTGAAAACTCTAGATTAGTTAAAATGAAAACCTAGATATTCACCTACCAGATCCACTGGCTTGGTCGCCTGCAAAATCTTACTGAACCGGACAATCTAAAAATGCTGCAATGACAATCAAAGATATCAGATGGGTCAAGGAACCCTTTGAGAAGAGACAATAAACAATGGGGCTGATAAAAGAGATCATTTATGTAACAAAATGGATAACAACTAGATTTTTATGCATTGTTAATTAATCAAGATTCCTTCTGGCACATAGTAGCAAACCACTTTGAGCCCGTGTGGCACCACAATAAATCCATTTTGATCGGATTCCTTGTCCGCGAAAAAAGTTTTTCGCAAAGAGCAAGAGCCAATTGCCTGGAATAGGTTTTTGCTGAACGATATTTGAATGATTCGGGCTAAAAACTCACCATATCCTCGATTTTTGGTATCATCGGAGCTGCTAGCAGCTGGAGATGGCGTGGAGGTGCTGAGGATGGAGATGGTGTCAGGGGTGGTGGCAGGAGAGGATTGGAGGGACGTGAAGCAGGTAGAGGTTCTGGGTCTCCGGGATCACCAATTCTATAAATTTTCACGCATTTTTTAAATCGATAGATCAAAATGTAAACTCACCCAACTCCTTGGCTGCTAACTTCAGACGATCTGTCTTGGTCATCTTCGCCCATGAAGACATCACGTTCTTTGTTTGCCTTTCATCATGTCCACGAGCATCAAATTCTGCTTCTTTTCTTTCTCCTTCCTTTCTCCTTTCTCTGGTGCTCCATTTCAACTAGCATCTTGCGGCGCCGCTGTTGTTCGGCTGAAAAAATTGAATTTGAATGAAGTTTAAATTTTGATTACTGTACTTTCTGGAGCCATCAATGGGCAGAATGAACGATAGGGATGTGGGGAGAAGAGATGTGCGCTATCATCCGACAATCTCTCCTGAAAACATATTGATTGCATTATCGGTTTTCAATGATCACGACATCTCTGAATCCCTTAACTTTCTATATTCCAATTTTTTGCCTGCTCGCAAATAGAAAAACTCATGCATTCACTGATTCAAAAAAGAAAATTTTTTAATTTAGACAAAACTACATTTTTCGATTCGTTCTACCTTTTCAACTCTGTTAAACAATCTAAATTATTTCCATACTTGCAACGGGCCGAGCTTTTTTTCTTTAATTTCCAAAACCAGGCCCGGCTCGTGTTTTCAGAAAAAACTTTGGAAAATAATTATTTTCCCAACAAACCTTTTTTTAAAAATTTTGAAATTTGAACATTTTTTTTCGAATTCAGAAAACCCAGGCCGGGCCGGGTCCTGGAAATCTTTGGCCCGGCCCGACCCGATCCGACCCGGCCATGCATGCCAGGCCAGGCCCACAGGCCGGGCCCCGATTTTACAAGTATGTTTTTTTTCTTTTTCAATTAAAAAAAAGTTCCCAATTTTTTAAGCTGAATTTTTAATTGCGAAAGACTGGCTGGCCTGGGGTTGGACCGCGCCGTTTGAATTATTTCTGTGGCTCGGCCGGTTGCAACAATTCTTAAAAATAAACCAACTGTTTTAAAATAGGAAATTAGTGTCCCACCGATACATATACATAAAAATAAACCAATTTTTTAACAGGAAAATGTTTCACTGACGCATAATCATTTTTGCCTTATTTTCGAAATATCAAAACTATTGAAAAAGATTTTTCTCACCTTTAATTTCTCAAACGACTGGAAGAGCAGAAAAAAATAATCAGAAAAATATTAGAAAATTACTTTATCCAAATCCATTCACTCAGGATTTTTGGATAGAGTAAGAATAAAAGATACTCAGAAAAATAAAAGCATTCTTCCAGAACCCATTCATGCACAGGGTTCACGGAAAAACACTTGAATATATAGGCACATACACACTGTACCAGAAGAAGAATGAATAAAATGGGAAGAAAGAAAAGAGAAGAGAGACGGCGGTGTGGGCGTGGCTAACGCTCTGTGTGTCTACTTTCTCTCTACGTTCTCTCTATGTACGTTCTCTCTACGTTCTCTCTACATAACGGATAGACAGGCCAGGTGTGTCACTCTCCTGGGAAGATATAACAGCAAAGGAAGAGACGATGATCTGCGTCTACATGATTTCACTGCACTCTGGCATTTTGCCTTCTTTTGTTGGTTCGTGGCTGAGTAGACCAAATAGGGAGGGGCCAAATGGGGAGGGGTCAAATTGGGAGGAGGTCAAATGGGGAGGAGAAGGCCAAATGGCGAGGAGAAGGAGATATCCAACAAAAGGCTGCAGTGACAGGGTATGATATTCAAACGAAAGGGCTAGGGGAGAAAATAAGTTCTCAAAGAATACTAAAGTCGTGTGATGCTTTAATGCCTTTTCAAAATCATGAAAAGATTAAATAAGAAAAACTATTTGGTTTATATATTGATTCGACCTTAATGTTTTTCATCTGCATTTCTATGGTTTCACTGTACTCTGTCATTTCCAGAAGAAGCAGTAAAATCGAAAGATCAAAGATTATTTTGAAATGCCGTAAAACCTGTATTAGAAGGGCCGGCCCTTCTATTTTTCGTGGGATCTCTAGGGGGCACTTCAATTAGAGGGGCCCTTCAATTAAAAGGGGCACTTGTATTTTTCATGGGTCCTCTGAGAACGGATCTTCTATTGGGGGGGGGGGGGGCATAATTTTTGAGTGATAGTTTCGTTTTTCTACTAAAAATCTATTGCAATCTTCCTTATATGTACATAAAAATCTAGACGTATATAAAACGCTAGACGCGCCTTTTGGTCCTCGGGTCCGTCTGTGAACTTTTGGGTTTTTGGAGGAGTTTGTGGCTGCCGCCATGCACACAGTTGTGCCATGAAGAACCACACAACGAGAAAGGAGGAAGTGTGTAGATATTGTAGCATTTGAAAGGGGGAGGAGAGAAAGCGAACAGGGATGAGCAGAGCGATAAACCATTAAAAACAGATTGAATTGGGTCTTGAATCCGCCATTGTATTAAACAAAATTAATTTCTTTGAATTTAGTGGGATTTTCTGATTAAAATGTAGTTTTCTTGGTAAAATTTTGATCGCTAGAATGTCTAGAATTTTTCAAATCGAAAACGCCATACTTGATTGCGAAAATTGCTCGAATGAGAAAAACATCTGTATTAATGGCATTCAAATTTTCAGGTGCCAGTATTTTTTTTAAATCAGACAGTAATTCAATCAAAAAACAGAAAAAACGGCTGAATATCAAAGGAGGTAATCAAAGAGGCACTTCAATTAGAGGGGGTTGTCAAGGCGCAAGTCTTCGCCTCAACTTTTCCGATCTAACTGATAAGCGTCTCTATAAAAGAGTGCTGCCAGTTAGTTTCGGGGCTCTCTTTTCTTTATCATTTTGATTCTTGTTTGACATTTGGTTTTCTATATTCTTGAGTTATATGTAATAAAGTGATGGCTTGAAAGTGTTAAGTACATATCATGAAACCGCTACACATTCCTGAGCTCTCCTATGCTAATCAGGAGTTACAGTTAGTTGATTACAGGGTTTTGGCTACCCGTAAGGATAAGGAACCGCCAATAATCATTTTGTAATTACAGGGTACTACAAATAAAGGGGCCTTTCAAATAGAGGGAGAACATCTATTTTTCGTGAGGTCTCTAGGGGGGCACTTCAATTAGAGCGTCCTTCAATTTTAGGGGCCCTTCTAATACAGGTTTTACGGTATATCTTATCGACCGGAAAATGTTCATAATGCACGACTATGTCTTCATGTATGATTGACACCCGTTTTCCCACAGGGTTATGAGACACGAGACCCACTTATATAAATTTTTTAGTGCGATGTATCATCTTCAATAGTCTTTTGTTAGTACGACCTCCTCTGACCGCAATACAAGGTAATTAAGTTCTACTTTGGTTCGAACAAGTAGCCACTGAAGAACAGTAAGTCATCATGATACGTATCATGGATGAGAAAAAAACAAAAACAACAAGTTAGCAGAGACAAAAAAAGGATGACTTGAAAATTTGAATTTATCTAGAATTGGATATACTGAAAGGGGAATCCACAGAAGAACAAATAAAAACGTTATTTTTTTAAGAAGATGTTTTGTGAATTACTGGAGTCATATGATGTTTTAATGCCTTTTAGAAATAATGCGGAACCATAAAAAAATATGACCCCTTTGATCTTTCGATTATACTGTTTCGTCTGGAAATGACAGAGTACAGTGAAATCATAGAAACGCAGATGATAAACATTAAGGTCGAATCAATATACAAACCAAATAGTTTATCTTATTTAATATTTTTATGATTTGGCATTAAAGCATTTCATGACTTCAATATTCTTCTAAAACCTTTTCTTGTAAACTTGTAATTCAAACTTCTTTTTTAAAGAAAGGAGATTTTCTTCATTTTTCTGTCGATCCGCTTTCTCCTCTAACCCTTTCTTTCAAATATGATACCACGCTGCTGTAGCTTTTTGTTGGATCTCTCCTTCTCCTTCCCATTTGGCCTCCTTCCTATTTGGTCTACTCAGCCACGAACCAAAAAAAGATGGTAAAATTCCAGAGTGCAGTGAAATCATGTAGACGCAGATCATTGTCTCTTTGTTCGCCGTTACATTTTCCCAGGAGAGTGACAAACCTGGTCTGTCTAGTCGTTATGTGAAAAGAACGTAGTCAGACAGAACGTTAGCCACGCCCACACCGCCGTCTCTCCTCTTTCTTTCCATTTTAGTCATTCTTCTTTTCGTGGCACAGTGTGTTATGTGCCTCTTTATTCTAGTGTTTTTCTATGAACCCTGTGAATCAAATGGTTCGGGAAAAATGCTTTTATTTTTCTGAATATCTGTTATTCTTACGTTATCCAAAAATTCCTGCAGTGAATGGATTTGGATAAAGTAATTTTCTAATATTTTTCTGACTATTTTTTTTTCTACTCTTCGAGTCGTGGTGGGAAATTAAAGGTAAGGACAATCGTCTTCAGTAGTCTTGAAATTTATTTTTGAAAACACAAGAAAATTTTTTCTGAAAGCCCGGGACGGGCCGAGTCTTGGAAATTCTAGAAGCCCGGTCCGCTGCAAGTATGGAAAAAAATTAGATTGTTTAATATAATTTTAAAAAGTTGAACGTATTTAAAAAATATATAGTTTTGTCTAAAATTTTGAAAAAAAATTTGAAAAAAATCGGTGAATGTATTTGATTGTATGGTGATTGTATGAAAGAGTATTTTTTTTTCTGATTTTAATTCGAATCGCTGGAAGACATTTATGGTGAGAAAAAGCTGCTTAAATAGTTCAAGCGTTTGAAAGTAGACACATTTTCAACTCAGATTGTGTTTTAAAACTCAGGATATGCCGAGAGTAGCACAACTAAACATGTCCAAAAATATAAGAATCCGCTCGTCTGTTTCAGTCGAATTATATCAGTCTCATATTTTAAAGACAATATTTTTAACTTTTTGAACGTTTCAGAACATGAGATTTGTTTTTTTAGTTAAAATTTTGTGAAATTCCATGAAGAAGTAAATTATTTTTGTCTTTTCCGCGCTTTTTCTTCCAAAATGTCTGAAATTTGAAAACATGATATTCAATTTGAAATATCACACAACATAATGCATGTTTTGAAACGTCCTGGAAGTTGAGAAAATCGTATGCGAGAATCGCTGTTTTGCACTGAAATCGGTATCTTTCTATTGAACTTGATATAACTCGGTTGAAACTGGCGAGCATTTCTAAAATTTTGAGAGGTGTCTATCCACGCTATTTTCAACATTTCCTGAAAATGTCATGAAAATCTGCAGTGTTTAGATTTGATATTTTTGACTTAAATTCACCAAAATTTTATCAGCATTTTTAGTAAAAAGTTTCCAAAATTATTCTTTAGAAAAATTTATTTCCTCTCAATTTTCTCTCAAATTTTGCCATTTTTCTGAAATTATATATTTTCAGACTCATCAACGAAACAGGGTCGGAAGCACCAGATGTCATCCAGATGAGGAATCAGGTAAGCATCATTTTTTAAATGAAAATCTTTTCTTGAATTCAAAAAAAAAAGTTGAAAAATGCTAGTTTCAGATTTTCGAGTATTTCAATATGAGACGAAAGATAAATGAGAAGATGAAGGCGGCAAAACTAAGAGATGATTGAGATGATCCTCAGAAAGCTCGAAACTTAGACGACCTGGTTGGAGATGAGCATTATGATATGCAAGAGGATGAGGAGATCCCTTCACATGGAGCACTACCAGATTGGGACTTCTCGTATGCGCATATGCGGAAAAAGTCAGATGACCAAGCACCAATATCTCGTCCATCAATGGTTCATCGTCCTGCTTTTTCATTCTCACCTCTGATTTCTAGTCCTGAAGAAATCGCAAACCCTTCCCACGGCACGCGGTCTTCATGTATCCAGCTTTGGATGTTCATTGTGGTGCTCCAGCTTATTGCCCTGGACCTCCATCAAAACCGTTTCTTCCATCAATCCGGTCAGGAGAAGTGGACTACCCCTGTCTTCAATAGTTTCAGCACAAAAGAATTCAGTCCAAGATCAAAATTCAAGACCTAATCTTCAATATCCATCAATAAATTTTGTGTGAGGAAAGCGCTGGGATCAGTGAAATACACTTCAAAGTTGCTTATCAGTTGTTTCAAGTTCAAATCAAATGTGCGATTCATCGTTTCCAATATCAAAGTCACAAAACATTTTGACACAGCACGTTTTCAATTTAAACTATTATATGTCAAACATAATCATTGAAAAAATAAAGTTTTTATCTTACATTTAGAAGTGTCCATATCTTCGAAATATATAATATCAATGCATAAAAATTAGACTTCCTGGTGTAAGAATCTGAAAAATAAAGTGGGAAAACTTGCTGAAGAATAAGATCTCCTTTTAACTGAAAATTCTTTGACTGAGTTTCAGAAAAATTTCCAAAAACAATAGTTTTACAGTGCAATCAAATTCATATGTTAACCTGAAAAGGAAAGAGTTTTTAGAGGGCGTTGAGAATTTGTTGAAAAGTTCAGTAGTTATAGTTTGAGGCATCCTCTACACGATGTCAGAAATATCTCGTCCCTGGATCCACCAGGAAGCTGAAAAGCTTCGTCTGAAAATTCTCTCCCAATCTCGGCGCGCATTTTCCCCCCTCTCCTATACGCCCTCCGCGCCAGAGGAAAATGTCGGTTGTGTGATGTTGTGGTAAGGGGGTGAGTCATTAGGAGTGAACATGCTGGTTTGAACCCCACTGTGGTAAAACTTTTTTTGCATGTTTCAAAACGAATTTTTTGATTTCCAGTTTGGCTCTCTATACACTTTCTGACACTTATTCATGAAACAACAAAAGTTTTAACCTCTGGAAATTTTTCAATATTGCTCTTTTTGAGATGTAGTACTGCTAGATCAATCACACACAATATTTAAACCTTTTTCCATAGATTTCAGTCAATTTCAAGCAGTATTTGAGAAGTTGGGAGTTGTCAAAGTTCAAGCAATAGAGACTCTTTGGGGATTATTTGAGCCCAAAGACGAAATGAGGATGTAAAATTTCGTGAGAATGCTATTTTCATCCGTTCTGAAGAACTGGGACATTTTTTAGAACTTTTCAAAAAATTTTCAAAAAATCACTTTTAGAGTGTGGGGGACCCCATGTTGTTTTCAAAAGTTTTCAAAAAAAATTTTTTTCTGAAAATGTTTAAAACCTATTTTAGATGATAGAGAAATGTTCAAAAATGAGTGTTACATTTGAGATAATCCTGAAAAACTAGTTTTAAAGCTCGAAAAATGCACGTTTTTGGTGAAAATTTAGCACTAAAATCTCTTTGAGAGCCAATATTTCGATTCCCATTGGATGCGGGGATGAGATATTGCTGACACCGTTTTCAGCATGTTTGAAAGTACCTTTGTACAAATTTTGAGCGAATTCTCAACGCCCATCTGAAAACACTTCCCATAGTGGAAATCGAGAATTTTGGAGTCTTATTTCCTTTAGAAAAACCTGATTGAAGAATTTTGAATGCACCTGCGCTGTATACAAAAACATCGTATTGTTTTTCACTTTTATTTCAAATCTTTTAAGCTAATTTAAAGGGGGACTCCGACCAAAAATTTTTACTGCACCAAATGTTTCAAATGTTAAGTATTTTTTTAATATTATAACGAAAAAATTCGAAAAAAATCCGAAATTCCCAAAAAACGCCGTTGAAAGCAAAAACAAATTTCAAAAAAAAAAACTGCTCGATGGGACGAGAACTTGAACTCACGCGGGAAAACCTCGGCCACGGCCATGGTTGCATTATTGACTTTTCAGTTTTTTTGGAACTTTTCCGCTTTTATTTTCTTTTTTTCAGTTTTTTATTCTGAAAAGTTCGAATTTTGTTGTAAAAAACCATGGTCGTGGCCTAGGATTGTCCTCGAGTTTAAATCCATGTCCCTCCGAGCAACTTTTTTTGAATATTTTTGCTTGCAACTGCGTTTTTCGGGGATTTCAGATTTTTTTTGAATTTATTCGTTATAATATCAGGAAATTACATAACATTTGAAACATTTTGGTGCAGTAAAAATGTTCGGTCGGAGTCCCCCTTTAACCTGCGCGACACAGATTTTTTCAACCATGAACTTTTCAACATTTTTTGCGACCTCAAATTTTCGAAATGGGTTCATGTATGGGTCTGTGAGCAAACTTTTGGTCATTATGAACGCTACCAGTAATTTTAGCAGATTTTTGAAATACGCATGATGAGCACTACAAAGTAGAGAAGACAGAATAATAAATAGTTAGACCACTACTGAGCAGTGACCATACAAAAAACAACGACTTTTCCCTAAACCTAATATTTGCAATCAATGAAACTTCATGAGGTTTACAAGATTCCGAACATTGAAGCTTTCTAGTTTTTAGATCTCTAGATTCCTAAATTTTTGAATATCGAAAATTTCGAATTCCTGGATGTTTGAATATAACTTCCAAAATCACTTTATTTCTGAAAATTCTCTACCCGGATCTGTGTCATATTGTCATGTGTGGAAACTAGGAAAATCTGTATATTTTACGTGATGCTAGAAATAGTTACGTGGTATTATTCAATATTTATTGAGACATTATCAAAAAATTTAGTCTTTCGATCCGCAAACTCCCAATATTTCATCCGGCAGTGCTCCAAGAATGTCAGACTATCCAGAATCCATGCCTGATTAGTGGTTGGGTGTCGTCCTCCTCCAAATCACATTTGCCAATTCGATGAAGAAGTTGTCCTTTTTATGCTGCTTCATATGCCAGGCCATGTTTTTGTCAAACTGCTTCTTATCCGTCTTCGGTTGCTCCTCCATCTCCTTCATCAGCTCAGTCAGTCAATTCAGGTGAACCCTGAAAAACTTAAATTTACACTTTTCAAAAAAGGGTCCTTAACTTTGAGCCAATTGTTCTAGGTTCCTGTCTGAGATAATGAAAAGTTGTCAAATTTCATAATAAAATCAGAATTTTTATTGTCGGTTTACACTTTCTTGATATCATGCATAAGAACAGAGATAATTGAGCTCAAGCTTGACAGTGTACGCCTTTCTATTTACTGTATTTTACAGTATCCGCGCATTTTCCCAGCTAATCAAAAACATCTCTATTCGAATTTCGAATAATCAAAACGTAACAACGGAGTATCGTTGCGTGATTGGTTAGCTACGTCTTCTCTCATTAGCTAGTTTTTTATGACTCACCGAGTAATTTCTGGCTTCATCTAACATCTTTTTCATCTCTTTCCGCTTCTGCTCCTCTCTTTCCTCGTTCCTTCGCCTATTTGTCTCGTTTGCAGCCGCTGTCTCCTGCTTCCGTTGTTTGAGAGTCTTCTGGAATTGAAGAAATGAATTTTAAAATAAAAGCATTCTTCCCGAAATGAAAGTAAAAACTTTCCCAAGATAAGAACGCCATTAAGAAATAATTTTTTTCCCAAAAACCTTGAAAAAATTTCTGAAATTTCAAGTTTTTTTCGAATTCAGAAAACCCGGGCGGACCGGGAGCTGGAAATCTTCGGCCTGGTATAGCCCACAGGCCGGGCCCTGATTTAGCAATTATGTTATTTTCTCTTTTAATTAAAAACATTTTTCCAATTTTTCAGTGGAATTTTTAACTGTGAAAGATGGGCTGGCCTGGGGTCGGACCGCGCCGTGAAAATTTCTTTGTGGATCAGCCCGTTGCACCTATACATTAAAATAACCCAACTTTTTTTAACAGGAAAATGTTTCACTGACGCATAATCGTTTTTGGTTAATTTTCAAAATATCAAAACTATTGAAAAAGATTTTTCTCACCTTTAATTTCTCAAACGACTGGAAGAGCAGAAAAAAAATAATCAGAAAAATATTAGAAAATAACTTTATCCAAATCCATTCACTCAGGATTTTTGGATAGAGTAAGAATAAAAGATTTTCAGAAAAATAAAAGCATTCTTCCAGAACCCATTCATGCACAGGGTTCACGGAAAAACACTTGAATATATAGGCACATACACACTGTACCAGAAGAAGAATGAATAAAATGGGAAGAAAGAAAAGAGAAGAGAGACGGCGGTGTGGGCGTGGCTAACGCTCTGTGTGTCTACTTTCTCTCTACGTTCTCTCTATGTACGTTCTCTCTACGTTCTCTCTACATAACGGATAGACAGGCCAGGTGTGTCACTCTCCTGGGAAGATATAACAGCAAAGGAAGAGATGATGGTCTGCGTCTACATGATTTTACTGCACTCTGGCATTCTGCATTCTTTGTTGGTTCGTGGCTGAGTAGACCAAATGGGGAGGAGGCAAAATAGGGTGGAGAAGGCCAAATGACGAGGAGAAGGAGACATCCAACAAAAGGCTACAGTGACGTGTTATGATATTCAAACGCAAGGGCTAGGGGGGAAAGCGGATCAACAGAAAAATAAAGAAATTCTCCATTCTTTAATGAAGAAGTTTGTATAAGAAGTTTACAAGAAAATATTTCAGAAGAATACTGAAGTCATGTGATGCTTTAATGCTTTTTAAAAATCATCGGAAGATTAAATGAGACAAACTATTTAGATTGTATTTTGATTCGACCTTAATGTTTTTCATTTGGGTTTCTATGATTTCACTATACTCTGTCATTTCTAGAAGAAGCAGTATATTTGAATCATCGTAGATCCATTTGAAAAATATCATATCGATCGGAAAGTGTTCATAATGCACGACTATGTCTTTATGTATGATTGACACCTGTTTTCCCACAGGGTTATGAGATACGAGACCCACTTATATAAATTTTTAGTGCGATATATCATCATCAATAGTCCACTTTTGTTAGTACGACCCCTTCTGACCGCAATACAAGGTAATTAAGTTCTACTTTGACCACGAACAAGTAGCCACTGAAGTATAATAGGTCATCATGACATCTGTCTCATGATAATAGTAATGAGAAAGAGACAAAAACAACAAGTAAGCAGAGTCGAAAAAAAGAATGACTTGAAAATCTGAGTTCATCTATATTTGGATAAGGGAAAAAGGGGATCCGCAGAAAAATGAATAAAAATGTTATTTAGTAATGAAGATGTTTTGTTGACTACAAAAAATGGTTTTAAAAAAGTACTGGAGACATATAAAGTTTTTTTTATTTTATTAGAATGTGAAACCATTTTTTCAAAAAAAAATTATGACCCCGAGGTTTTATCTAAATCATCAAAGAAGTACAAAAGACAATCGATTTGGAAGTTCTAAAAATTTGAGCATCAGGTTTTTCTGCAAGAAAACATATTGAAAAGTTTCCGTTTGATATTTCAAATGAATTTTTGATTTTTTGAATATACTGCTTCTTCTGGAAAGGACAGAGTACAGTCAAATCATAAAAACGCAGATAAAAAGCAATAAGGTCGATTCAATAATCAAACCAAATAATTTGTCTTATTTAATCTTTTGATGATTTTTAAGAAGCACTGAAGCATCACATGACTTCAGTATTCTTCTAAAACCTTTTCTTGTAAGCTTGTATTACAAACTTTTTCATTGAAGAATAAACATTTTAGATTATTATTTTTTCATTTTATTATTTTTTCTGTCGATCTCCGTTCTCCCCTAGCCCCTCTCATTTGAATATCATACCACGTCACTGTCGCTTTCTGTCGGATATCTCCTTCTCCTCCTCATTAGGCATGTTCGCTCAGCAACTAATCGACAAAAGATGGCAAAATGTCAAAGTACAGTAAAATCATGTAGACGCAGATCATCGTCTCTTCCTTTGCTGTTATATCTTCCCAGGAGAGTGACACACCTGGCCCGGCTAGTCGTTATGTGGAGAGAGCGTAGGCAGACAGAAAGTTAGCCCCGCCCTCACCGCCGCCACTCTTCTTTCTTTCCATTTTATTCATTCTTCTTGTTCTGACGCAGTGTTGTATGTGTCTCTATATTCTAGTGTTTTTCTATGAACCCTGTGAATCAAAGGGTTCGGGAAAAATGCTTTTATTTTTTTGAATATCTTTTATTCTTACTCTATCCTGAAATCCTACAGTAAATGGATTTGTATAAAGTAATTTTCTAATATTTTTCTGACTATTATTTTTCTTCTACTCTTCGAGTCGTGGTGGGAAATTAAAGGTAAGAACAATCGTCTTCAATAGTTTTGATATTTGGAAAATATACCAAAAATGATCATGGGACACGAACATCCTATTTTGAAAAATTTGGTTGGAATTTTAAGCATAATTGCAACGGGCTGAGCCATAAAAAGAATTTTTAGGGCGCGGTCCGACCCAGGCCAGCCCATCGTTCACAGTTAAAAAATGCCACTAAAAGTTTGGAAACTTTTTCAATTAAAGAAATGAAAAAGGAGAACGTATTTTAAAATAGACAGTTTTGTCTAAGTTTTTGAGAAAACTTTGAAAAAATCAGTGATCAAGGGTTCTTCAAATTTGAATAATTTTTTGAAATTTCAGAAATTGTTTCGACTTTTCTTGTAAGAAAATCATTGTTTATAGACACTCTTAATTTGAAAAAATTTTCACTTGACAGAAAATCGTCCATTTTTTCCATTGACCCCAAAAATGTTTTTGAAAGACAGGAAAATTTTTTTCTGAAAACGCGGACCGAGACGAGCCCTAAAAATTCTGAAAAAAGCTTGGCATGTTGCAAGTGTGCATTAAAGATGAGAGCAAATTACTCTAATAGTTCAAACTTTTCAAAATAGATAGTTAAGAACTGCTTTAAACTTTTTGATTGTGTCACTTATTATAAAACCTCCTCGAAATTCAGTAAAATGTTTAGACACTATATTGAAAATTCTGAAACCAAAGACTGTAATGTATTGACAAAGAAAATTGAACACCTTTCAACCCAAATTTTGTCAGAGAGTTGAGGATATGTCAAGAATATACTAATTAAACATTTCCAACAATTTAAGAATTCGTTCGTCTGTTTCAGTCGAGTTATATCAGCTTCAATTTTAAAAGATGATATTCTTAATTTTTTTTTTTCAAAACATGAGGTTCGCTTTTCGTTAGTTAAAATTCGAAAAAATTCCATAATTCAAACGAAAAAAAAACTATTTTTTCCGTTTTTTTTCGATTTTCTTCCAAAAAATGTTTTTTTTCGATAAAATGTCCGAAGTATAAAATGATATTCGATTCAAAGTATAACACAACAAAATTCATGTTCTGAAACATCCTAAAAATTGAAAAATTGCATTTGAAAATCTTTGTTTTGCATATATGATATTTTAAGTTTAAATTGAACAAAATTTTATCAACATTTTAGTTAAAAGTTTCCAAAAGCTCAATTAAAAATTCAAATTCAATTCAAATTATTCTTTTAAAAATGAAAACTTTATTATCTCTCCATTTTCCCTCAAACATTTATCCAAGGGCTATTATCTCGGTTCCTATAAAAGATAAAAAAATTTTGTTAACTGATAAACTGTAGCTGATAACATGAGACATGTTTTATTAGTTGTCAAATTTTTGATATCTCCTATAGGGACCGACATAATTGAGCTCGATGTTGTAGGCTTCTATTTACAGTTATTGGGTCAAGGTAAGGTCCCTTCTGTTAGAGGTATTACGGTATCCGTTCTTATATTTAAAAATTATGAATCAGAACAATTTGATTTTTTGCAGACGCCGAAATCCAAGAGCGCACGAAGAGTTCTAAGCCAAAAGTGGAAATGGAAGGTTTCGAGGCAAAAAAGAAAGAATGGGAGAATAAGTCGGCCAAAATGAAAGGACATATCAAATCTTTGGAAAAAAAATTGGAGGCGAGCAGTAAGTTTTTTTTTGATCCACTTTTTCGGATATCGGATACCGTAGTCTTCACTTTTTTTTCAGATGATTTTCGCTTCAAAATCACGGAAGAGATGGAAACACTACTAGAAGAAGATGTCAGTCCCAACCGTATGTTATCTCTTTTCGATTAGAATGTTCAATCATTTGATTTCAGAGACGATGTGCCTCGAAATGCCCCGACAAACTTCTGAGTACCATAAGGAGTTGGGGAAGAAAGTGAGATCCAATTTCGAGCACATGAGAAATGCGAATCGCGGACTACAAATGAGCCTCGAGGAGCTGGGTTAGTTTTTTGAACTTTTCATTGATTAAAAAAACATTTTTTGGAGAAGTGGAGAAAGAAAATATGGATGTCGAATTGGGACGACGAGGTACCGCTATCAAGTAATTCAAAAAGAAAGAAAAGAGAGCAGGTCAGAGAATACAGGAGTTGGAAAAATCAATTGAATTGAAAGGTTTGTGAAAAACGGAAAAATGATAAATGATCCAAAAAATTTCAGTGCAAAATGAGGAAAAATTTAGATCCGAAAATGCTGAAATCTGTAAGAAGTTTTGGGACCAAACAGCTCAAGTGGACACACTGATCAAGATGTTGGAAGATAAAAGCAAGTTTTTGAAAAATTCAACTTTTTAAAACTTCTCCATATTTCAGCCGTTCGGATCATTGGAGATGGCATGGTTATTCAAGAGCAACAACGATACATCCAAAATCTTGGTAATTATGAATTTCTAAACGACCTAATCATTGAAAAAAATAAATCGTTTATCTTACATTTAGAAGTGTCCATACTTTCAAAATATATAATATCAATGCATAAAAAAAAACATCCTGGTGTTAGAATCTGAAAAAAAATGTGGGAAAACTAGCTGAAGAATAGCTGAAGCTGAAGAGCTAGCTGACTTGCTGAAGAGCTCTTTTCAACTGAAAAAGTCTTTGAGCGGGTTCCAGAAAAAACGTTTTTATCACTGAGAGGCAACCAGGGTGATAAGGGAAAAGTCCAGATGCCGTATTCATGAAATTTACTTTTGTAAATCATTTACTCTAAAAAAATCAACTGAATCATTTTACAAAAGGTAAATGGAAGCGTGAAAATGTACTGAAAATTTTTTTCTCATTTGTAAATATTTTTCCTGTTTTTTAGGTAGGAAAACAACTTCGAACTAGAATTTCTCGACTTTAAACTGAAAAATGCTCATTTTTGACACATTACTTTAAATTGAATGTTCTTTCCATTCATGTCATTTGTAGTAAAAGTCATAATTTTCGAGTTGAACAGAAACGAAATATGTGTTTAAAGTTAGATAATATTGACGTTACAATACTATTCTTTCCATACATAACATTTTTTAAATGAAAAGTTTCCAAAAAGTGGTGGTAAACTACAAACAAAATTAGTACCCCTATTTACCAAAAAGAGGGGTATTTACCAAAAATTAAATGTTTTTTTTTTCAATTTTCACGTTTTTCAGTTGATTTTTGAGAGTAAATGATTTGCGAAAGTAAATGTTCATGAATTTAGCCCCAGAAGAACAAAATTTAGAGAAAAAGAGTAGGAAACAAAATTGGGAATCTTGAAAGCTTTATTATAACAAAGAATAAGTTAGAAAATAAATGTTAAAACCACAGTAAAATTTATTTTTAGAGATCAATTGACATGAGAAGCTGGAAAAAATTTGTATTGAATATCATATATATAAACAACTTGCTAGAAAGCTCGGCGGAGAATTTTTCGAATTGGGGTTTGTTCGTTTCCTTCAAGTCCATTGATTACCATCGATCCTGGAAAAAGCATCAAAAATTTATGATGAAACTAACGATGGTTTAGAATTCCTGCTTTTCTGAAAAATTGTCAGATCTACTTCTTACTAAGGAAACTTTTCTGTGTGTGTGTGTGTGTGTGTGTGTATGTGTGTGTGTGTGTGTGTGTGTGTGTGTGTGTGTGTGTGTGTGTGTGTGTGTATGTGTGTGTGTGTGTGTGTGTGTGTGTGTGTGTGTGTGTATGTGTGTGTGTGTGTGTGTGTGTGTGTGTGTGTGTGTGTGTGTGTGTGTGTGTGTGTGTGTGTGTGTGTGTGTGTGTGTGTGTGTGTGTGTGTGTGTGTGTGTGTGTGTGTGTGCCTATCTATGTGCTGTGATTAACTCAAATTCTGTGACCTACTGTAAATTTGGTTGCCGTGTTTTTTTTCGACTGCAAAACATTCTAGAAAATTACAGGACATTTTATAATACTCTCAAAAGCTCTACATCATTCCAGAAAATTCTAGAAAATTCCAGAACATTCTAGAAAATTCCAGAACTTTCTCGGAAATTCCAGAACATTCTAGAAAATTACAGGACAGTTTATAATACTCTCAAAAGCTCTACATCATTCCAGAAAATTCTAGAAAATTCCAGAACGATCTCGAAAATTCCAGAACTTTCTCAAAATTCCAGAACATTCTCGAAAATTCCAGAACATTCTAGAAAATTCTAGAAAATTCTAGAAAATTCCAGAACTTCTCGAAAATTCCAGAACTTTCTCGAAAATTCCAGAAAATTCTCAAAATTCCAGAAAATTTTAGAAAATTCCAGAACTTTCTCGAAAATTCCAGAAAATTCTAGAAAATTCCAGAAAATTCTAGAAAATTCCAGAACTTTCTCGAAAATTCCAGAACATTCTAGAAAATTCCAAAACATTCTAGAAAATTCCAGAACTTTCTCGAAAATTCCAGAACTTTCTCGAAAATTCCAGAGCTTTCTCGAAAATTCCAGAACATTCTAGAAAATTCCAGAACTTTCTCGAAAATTCCAGAACTTTCTCGAAAATTCCAGAACATTCTAGAAAATTCCAGAAAATTCTAGAAAATTCCAGAACTTTCTCGAAAATTCCAGAGCTTTCTCGAAAATTCCAGAACATTCTAGAAAATTCCAGAACTTTCTCGAAAATTCCAGAACTTTCTCGAAAATTCCAGAACATTCTAGAAAATTCCAGAAAATTCTAGAAAATTCCAGAACTTTCACGAAAATTCCAGAAAATTCTCGCAAATTCCAGAGCTTTCTCGAAAATTCCAGAACATTCTCGAAAATTCCAGAACAATCTCGAAAATTCTAGAACATTCTCGAAAATTCCATAACATTCTAGAAAATTCCAGAGCTTTCTCGAAAATTCCAGAACATTCTAGAAAATTCCAGAACTTTCTCGAAAATTCCAGAACATTCTAGAAAATTCCAGAAAATTCTCGAAAATTACAGAACATTCTAAAAAATTCCAGAACATTCTAGAAAATTCCAGAGCTTTCTAGACATTTCTAGACAAACGAAAAATTCTGGAGTTGTTAAACTGGATAATAGAAGTGTGGTCCCATACAACAAGTACCTTTCCAGAAAGTTCAGAAGTCATGCGAATTTGGAAATTCGTGGGAACGTCGGAGCAGTTAAATACCTTTACAAATATCTTTACAAAGGTACATCTCGAGCTGCTATCCGCATCTACACTGATAAAAATGGAGTCGAGCACAGGACGGAGAATGAGGTCAACAGCTACTTGGATGGTCGATACGTCTGCGCTCCAAAGTCTCTTTGGCATATCTTCAACTTTCGAATGTCCGACAGAAGCACCCCAGTTATGCAGCTCAAAGTGCATCTGAAGAATGCCCAAGGAGTCGTTTATAAAGAAGGAGAAGAAAAAGATGCAACAGCGTGGTTTGCTGCAAACAAAAGATGATATGATGAGCTTGAATCGACTGGAATGATTCCAGAAGACGTTGTGGACTGCCGAGGTATCTATTATGTTGAGATGCCAGAACATTTCCAATTCATCAAAGGAAAATGGACTCTTAGAAAAAATGCTACACGATCGATCGGAAGAATGCATTTCGTGTCTCCGAGAGATCAGAAAAGATTCGCATTAAGAGTCATGCTCCTAAACGTCACTGATACCAAATCTTATGAAGATTTGCAAACCGTTGGAGGTGTCTTTTATGAGAAATTTGTGGATGCTGCTAAAGCTGCCGGATACTTGACTGAGGACATTTTCTATGAAAAGTCGTTGGAAGAAGCAGCGTTATTTCATTCTGCACCATAACTGAGAGAATTCTTCGTGACTCTGCTGTTTGGGGAAATCCATAATGCTGAAGAGTTGTGGTACAGGTGAGAAATTAAAAAAAAAATCAACTTTGAAAATCAACATTTTTCAGAGCTTGACAGCGCCCTTCTGTTTGTATATTTTTATGTAAATTATTCTAAATACCTTTTATTCAAAATCAGAAAACCCGGGCCGCCCCGGCCAGGCCAGGCCTGATTTCGCAGGTACGTTTTTTTAAATTAAAAAAAATTTCCCAAGTTTTAGTGGAATTTTTTAACTGTAAAAGACGGGCTGGCGTGGGGTCGGACCGCGTCGTAAAAGATCTTTATGTGGCTCTTCTCGTTGCAACTATGCTCAAAAACAAACCAATTTATTTTTTAAATAGGAAATTAGTGTCCCACCGACGCATAATCATTTTTCGCTTATTTTCAATATATCAAACCAAATAGTTTATCTTATTTGATCTTTTTATGATTTTGAAGAGGCATCAGAGCATTTAATGACTTCAGTATTCTTCTAATACTTTTTCTTGTAAACTTGTAATACAAATTTCTTCATTAAAGAATGGAGATTTTTCTCATTTTTCTGTCGATCCGCTTTCTCCCCTAGTCCTTTCGTTTGAATATCATGCCCTGTCACTGTAGCCTTTTGTTGGATGTCTCCTTCTCCTCGTCATTTGGCCTCCTCCCCATTTGGTCTACTCAGCCACGAACCAACAAAAGAAGGCGAAATTTTAGAGTGCAGTGAAATCATGTAGACGCAGATCATCGTCTCTTCTTTTGCTGTTATATTTTTCCCCTGGCCTGTCTAGTCGTTATGTAGAGGGAACATAGAGAGTACATATAGAGAACATAGAGAGAACGTAGACACACAGAACGTTAGCCACGCCCACACCGCCGCCTCTCTTCTTTCTTCCCATTTTACTTATTCTTCTTCTTCTGGCACAGTGTGTATGTGCCTTTATATTCAAGTGTATTTCCATGAACCCTGTGCATGAATGGGTTCTGAAAGAATGCTTTTATTTTTCTTAATATCTTTTATTCTTACTCTATCCTGAAATCCTACAGTAAATGGATTTGGATAAAATAATTTTCTAATATTTTTCTGACTATTTTTTTTCTGCTCTTTGAGTCGTGGTGGGAAATTAAAGGTAAGTACAATCGTTTTCAATTGTTTTGATATTTTGAAATTATACCAAAAATGATTATGTGTCGGTGGGACACTAATTTCCTGTTTCAATAAAAGTTTATTTTCAAGCATAATTGCAACGGGCCGAGCCACTAATAGGATTTTCACTGCGCGGTCCAACCCTAGGCTAGCCCGTCTTTTACATTTAAATATTTCCACTTAAAAAATGGTAAAATTTATTTAATTAAAAAAGAAAAAAAGATTTCTAGGGTTCGGCCCGGGTATATTATATTTTAATGGCACTCTTATCTTGGAAAATTTTTACATGACAGAATAATTGTTTCGATTTTTTTTTGGGTATTCTAAAAAAAGCCGACCGGTCCGTTGCAGGTATGGAAAAAAGTTAGATTGTTTAACAGATCTAAAAAAGTAGAATGAAATGGAAAAATGTATATAATTTTGTCTAAATTAGAAAAAACAGTTTTTTTAATCAGTGAATATATTCAGAAAGAGTAATTTTTTCTTTTTTGACTATGATTCCAGTCGCTGGAAACTTTTGAAAATAGATAGTTAATAACTGCTTTAAATTTTTTGATTGTTTTCTTCATTATAAAAAATTCTCAAAATTCATTAAAATGTTTGGGTACTATATTGAAAATTCTGAATAGATGCTATATTGAAAATACTGAAAATTCTGAAACTTTGATTCATTGAAAAGGGAAATTAAACACGTTTCCAACTCAGATTTTGTTTAAAAACTCAGGATATGTCAAGAGTAGCCTAACTAAACATGTCCAAAAATTTTAGAATCCGCTCGTCTGTTTCAGTGGAACTATATTAGTTTCAGTTTTTAAAGACGATATTCTCAACTTTTACAACGTTTCAGAACATGAGATTCGTTTTTTTTGTTAGTTAAATTTCGATGATATTTCATAATTCAAACGAAAAAAAAACTAATTTTTTTGCATTTTTTTCCCATTTTTCATCCAAAAAAATGTTTTCTTTTTGAGAAAATGTCTGAAATATGAAATGATATCCGATTCGAAGTACATATAACACAACCAAATGCATGTTTTGAAACGTCCTAAAAATTGAGGAAATTGCATTTGAAAATCGCTATTTTGCACTGAAATCGGGATTTTTCCTATTGAATCTAATATAACTCGGATGAAACTGATTAGCATTTCTAAAATTTGGAGAGGTTGGAGAGATATACGCTATTTTTAACATTTTTTGAAATTCTCCCAAAATTCTGTGGTGTCTAGATTTGATATTTTTTAACTTAAATTTAACAACATTTTATCAACATTTTAATAAAAACTTTCCAAAAGCTCAATTAGAAAAACATTATTCTTTTAAAAATGAAAACTTTATTATCTCTCAATTTTCCCTCAAACATTTTGCCATTTTTCTGAAACCATATACTTTCAGATCGCTACTCTCACTCCACTTCTCAACCAGATGCATATAACCCAGAAGTTCGTATGTTTGAGAAAGTTTCCGTCAAAATTCCGCCATCAGTTGGACAAATTCCCAAACATGATTCTCATACACTACTCTTGTTGGTTTACCATTTATCAACTATTAGATTGCACATGTGTTCGGATTGAGCTGCAAGAGTCTATGTTGAGCAATCAGGATATAGTTGTGTTCCTTCAAAAATGGAAGAAGACAGGAACATTCCCAAATCTTCGGTAGCCTAAAACTGATAGCATGAAGATCGATAACAAATCTCCGATTCTAGAAATCGGTTCCTCCAATTAAGAAAAAAGGCCAAAGATAGAAATAATGTAAGTTGAAATCAATTTTTCAAACGTAATTGTAAGTTTTTAGAGTTGGTAGAAATCTTATCGAAGATATCATCGACGCCGTTCGAGTCACCAAAGACGATGGAACAGAGGGATGCCTGAAAGTTGTGTTACGGAGATACCCAGCACTCGAATTCCTGGTGTAAGAATTTTTGAATCTATTCCAAGATACTGTATAGAACTGAGGACATCTTTTGCAAACAATAACGATATCCATATGGAAAAGCGAGGTCCTTTTTTAAGGAAGACTAGTAAAACATTAAACATCCTATAAGGTCCATTTATAGAAAAAGTAGTTCCATTTAAATTTGTTTCAGGGGTTGCTTTAAAGGGTTCTCCCAATACATGGGCAGTCTTCCTTAATTGTCTCTAATACATGCTTCACAAAAACTCAAAATTTTCAGTGCCAATCCAGCTGACACCGTGGTACATCATCACTATGGAGGAGGTCAACGAATCATCTGATGGATTTCTGCATTTTTTTTTTCAGTAAACTAATAATAAATATTTGTATTCATATATTTCAAATTGATTTCTATTCCATCAAGAGTATCTTTAAAAGCTCTATCCATTCTTAGAAATTTCACAGCGTCTTTTTTATTCTTATCTTTTTTTCAATACTCTAATAAAATGCCACCTTATACGCGCACATTGAGCTCAATTATCTCGATTCCTTTGGAAGTTATCAAAAAATGTTGAACTGATAGATTATTTGTGATAATATCACCAATAATTTATCGGTTTAAAAGTTTTTAATAACTTTTATAGGAACCGAGATAATTCGACTCAAAGAGCATTTGTGCATCGTGTGTGCGGAAATCCATCCTTTTTGAATCTGCTCTCTCTGAAGCTTCTTGACTCTGGCCTTTGGTTCTTGTTTCTGTAAAACAATACAAATCAGACATTTTAGGAGTTTCAAATTTTTAAGCCGATGGAAAATTTCGGATCCTTTTTTTTGTTGTGATATTTAAAACAAAACTTTTTCCTTTTGAAGGGGGACGAGGCGCCGTTGTTTGCAGCGGACGAGGATCCTGAAACGAAATAATTGAGATATGAATTTCCAACCCTGAAAATTATTCTCACCTGGAAGTGGCAAGTGCCCTAAACTTGGTTACCTGCGCCATCGCAGCGGTGAATGTCGTAATTGTCATTGTGGTGAGTCGATGTTGGTCGATGCATCATAAACTGCAATGGTGGTTCGGGGTGTTGCTGTCCTTGTCCTAATGGTCGATTCCAGCAGGTGTGAATGACAATCTCGAAATTGGGTACTTAAATCATTTATTGTTTTCAACAATGAGGTGGCATTCATTCATGTTTGGGAGCTCGGCGAAAATTAAAAGATAGGGCCAGAAAACTTTGAGGGAAACCCTTAAGTTTGAAAAAGGATACTAGGAAAACAAACTCAGAAACACGGGTGGTTGACAATTAAACAACAGATAAAGTGTTATGAAAATATCACGACAAAATATGCAAAGTTGGGAAGGGGATAAAAAACACAACTGATGTGAGACTCCTCAAAGAGACTTCTTAAAAACCGGTTGAATCTGAGAATTTTCGCAAAGCTGTGTTTGGGGAAATAAAAAAGAGTAGATTGAAACGAGCCGAAAAACTAAAGAAAAACTGTCAGCTTATTCGGTTGAAGAATTGAGAAAGCGTTAAGATGATTTAGGTGGATGAGAAGACACGGGGTAAATTTTGAGAGGGGGAAATGGAAATGTGATGAGCAATTCAAAATATGGAATCGACAAAAGTTATTCAATAGGTAAAGCCTATTCGGGGAAAATGTTGAAAAGCAATGAATGGTGGGATGAGATGTTTTTGAAAGACACTGGGAATGGCAAGGGAAAACACCAATGAATTATCCACGAAATTCAGTCAATCAATAAATGACCGTTTTGCTGATCGTAGTGGTAGGTGATAGGAGTGTTTGGATCAAATCCGGGATGAGCTCGAGACATCGCGCACATGATCTCCAGGTGACGGAAAGAGTTGGATACACGCATTTCCTCGAGCATCAGATAGATGTCACCTAGCCACATCGTTTCCGGTGTCAGGGCATCATAAGGATTCTAGTGCTGAAAAATGAATGAAATCAGGATAATTATATTTTTTCAAAGGACTTACGAAGACTTCCTTCTTCTGAATATGTGTCAAATGGTTGTTGGTGTTGTAGTCTAAAGGACGCACCATCTGGCAAGCCATCATGATGATGACTACGGAAATGTAGTCGTCAACGCGACCATACGCTCCTCCGTTCGTCGCACTCAAACTTTGATAGGGTCCTTGCAGAACTGGCTTGCTGGTTGGCGGAGTATCGATGTGTCCCGCGTGAGCGAAGTAGCTCATTCCAACTTGCAGCTCCTGCAATTCATGTTTATTGATGACAATGAGTAATTTCACGTCGTTTTTGACTACTTAAAGAAACTGGCTTCATTTGGTACAAATCGAGTTTTTCGAAAAGCTTCGCAAGTTTGCTATTTTTGTCCAAATACACATGCCTTATTATGATCAACACTGCACATGACAGTGAGAGGTCTCACGTCGCGATGGACGAATCCTTTCATGTGCATCGCGTGTAGAATCCGGAGAAGACGAGTCCCGACACGAGTAGTGTTTTCTTTAGAAATCCTGAAGAATCGGTCGTTGAGGATTCTGGCAAAGCGAACGCCTTTGTGATCATGCGCTGAAAAAAATCATTTAGAAACCGAAGAAAAGAAGAACAAACCAACCAATGAATTCGTGGTCCAGCAATTGGAAGCGAGCAACGAGATGTGGAATTCCCTTTGTTCCAGCGCATTCCGTGAGGAGTTGAATGTGGGCTTGAATGCGAGAATCGGTAGGGGAGAAGACTTTCAGCATCACAGGCTGGCCGTCTTTCAAATCCTCTGCGTAATAACACTTTTCGCCGTGCCAGTCTCCGGCGAAGTGAGTTACTTTGAATCTGTTGTCAACAAGGGTTCCGTTCATGATGATCAAGTTCCTGTAAAAACGTCAATTGAAACAAAACTTTTTTCAATCCTATCAATCCGATTCCGTGTTCAAAAATCTCTAACTCGCAAGAAAAAAAAGCTGTTGTGTTTTTGCTCTGGATGTCACGGCCTTGAATTGAGAAAAACGGGTTATTGAACTTTTTTGGGAATGAAATTCCGAGAAAAAAAAATTCAAAATGAATTTCTGGTAGGAATATTTCCGAGAAATTTTTTTGGAATCAGAGATTTTTAGACTACGGTATGCTTTTGTCATGGGAGAATGGAATTTCTACTTCAAAACTGAAATTTGAAAATTCCGAGAATTTCGAAATTTTGAAAAACAGAGTTTGTTATATTTCGAAAAATTCCTAATTAGCAATCAGAACATCCCTGGTAGTAAATCCACAATTCGGGGATGCGAAATTCAAAATTCGGAGGGTATCTTGTACCCTCCGAACTATATTTCGCACCCCTAAATTGCTTTCTACCTAAATTGAATAAAAATTTTGTACATTCCAAACGATTCTTATTGAAATACATAATAAACGAATGAAGAAATGAAAACCATTTGGAACTTACATTGTTTCTTTGCAGTGGCGATCAAATCTCGATTTGGTTTTCCAAATAAATAGGATGGAAAAGAGTTGGTGAGGTCAGAAACAATCCTTGAAGTGTCGTTCAAACGCTACTTTGAATTTTCAAATACGTGGAAGGACAGTGAAAAATCTGGATGAGACGTCGGTGAAATGGTGAGGCAACCTGTAAAGAAACAAATTACTGGAAATCAACCGTAAAGTGAAGAAAATCGTAAAGAAAGAGAAACAAAAAAACCATAAGAGCTGGTGAAAAGAAAAAGAGAAAACTCTGGTCGGACCATCGCTGCAGAAAAAAAATACACGGGAAGGGCAACCGATCAATAAAAACGTAAAAGAGTGGTGTGTCCTCGTGTTTGATGGCGAGTGAGGGGGTCTCTGGTGAGTGAGAGGGTAGAGACAATGTGAAAGAGAGAGAGAGAGAGGGTGGTGTATTTGGGTGAGGTGTGTGAGGGTGTTTGATGGGGAGTGACGGTGATGAAGGTCAGTGAGAATGACCATCGAGTCTCCTCTTGCAACGTGGAGCTGTCTACGTTGTAGCCAAGGGCATATCTTTGGTTTGGGCCGTTGCCATGTTCCACTGTGCAAAAACAAATGCCAGGGCGAAAATGAACAATAATAAATTCCGCGAAAAACTTTTAAAAACTGGGGATTTTGAAAATATGAGATGTTTTGAATTTCAAAATTCGTGATGACAGAAATTTGCAAACTCGGAACTTTAGAAACTCAGAAGTAAGGAAATTCTGAAGCTTGGATGTGGGAAGCTTAGGAATTCGTAAAATTATAAATTTACAGTTTCAGAAAGTCGAAAATCCAGAAGTTCAGAGATATGAAAATCGTTTAGCTATTCAGATCATACTTGCAACGGGCCGGGCCGGGCCTGACTTTTTTCAGAATTTTCAGGACCGGACCTTGATTTCGCAAGTATGATTCAGATATTCATCAGGAATTTGAGAACTCAGAAATTCAAAGATTCAAAGTTTTGAATAATAAGACGTTAAGAATTCAGTGGTTTGAACGTTTGGAAAACTGGATATCGAAAAATATAGAAATTCGGAACCAAAAAACAATGCTTGACAATCTGAAAAATGGTAAGAACGTTTGAGAACTTCACGAATTCGGATATTTCTAAAATATGGCTCAAGCACATTTTCCAAGAAAATCCAAAAAAAAACTCAACCGAATTCATAAATTCAAAGGTCAAAAAGTCTGAACGTCAAATAATCAGTGAATAAGAAATTTCATTTGTTCTAAGTTTTGATAATTTTTTTCCGAAATTATTTTTTCTATCACTTTTTTAATTTGCAGATTTTTCTTTATTTTTCATTGAAACTCACTTTTCTGTTTTTTCTCTAGGAATTTTTTTTGGAAATATGTAGAAGCGGTTGGAGTGTTGGTAAACGATATATGAAACCTATGTCACTATTTCCAGGATTTCTGTACTTTTCAGTTGAGATTTTTTGCGTATTGCAAGTTCAAAAACAAATGTATTGTTTTGTAACATTGACTGTTTGTTTCTAAGGTTCACGTTTTGTAGGGAACTGGGGATATCAATTTATTGCATTAAAATTGAAACCATTGATTTTTTTAAGATGTAGATTTTGGCGAAAACTTGAAAAAAACACATTCATTGTGAAAATTACAAAAAAAACGTATTAGAAGAGATGAGAGCTTGGCAAGAAGCCTAAACTATGTTTCTCGTTAATCCTTCTCACGTCGAAGATTTTCTTCATAATTCATCTTTGCTTTTCTTTTCTGTCGACTAATGCCATCGTCTTCTTCCAACTCACGAGTATCGGGACCAAGCTGAAGACAGGAAAATTCGAGAGAATGAAGCCTTGTACACTCACATTTGTTTTCTTGATGTCACCTTCATTGAATTCGAAGTATTGTGTCGTACTGATCACCCAGATGATTTTCCAAGCAAAGAAAATTGGTTCAATTTAGCCAGCACTATTGAGCATGACTGGAGGAACTAGGCACTCGGTATGCTGACACTGGGCCACCATGTCGGAAGAACTATATTTACCACGGTATCTGTCCATGATTTCCGCTGCTCTGCCGGTGTTTTCAGCAGGCTTGTTCGGAAAAACAAATTCGGAAAATCGTGTTCTCGACTTTTTTCTCGACTTTTTTTTTCCGGAAAATCGAGTTCTTGAAATTAAGGGTTTTAACGACGGGGAAAATTGTGAATCAACGCCCTAAAGTTCTATTTTTAGGGAGAAAATACAGTATACAATAAAATGGATTTAACTTCGCGAGATGCAAGAACGAAATTGTTGAGCGGTTTGTGCGGAACAATCGACATACATAACAAAATCACTCTAGTCCATTCACAAGGGCATACTGCAAAAAAAATTATTCTTCGAAAAATCTTAAATTTTAAGAGAACTCACATTTTCAGGAAGATACATTTTTTAAAGTAGACCTCATTCAGATGGTCTTGTTCGCGTTTCGGTCGTTTCCCACATCTTTCTCTGTGTCACTTTAGAAGCCCTAGCTCTCTCGCTTTTATACAAATTTTCGATCGCTGACGTATCATTCAGTGCTCTTCTTTCTTCTCGTTTAGTGTTTGTTACTCTCTCACTTTCTCTTTTTTTCTGTTTAACTCTCCCAATTTCATTCTCTTTTTTAGTATTTGCTAACCGCTCTGATGCTCTTGGTGACCTTCTATGTGAATAAAACTTTTTTTGGGTGGTAAAAATAAACGCCAAGAAAACGGATGTATTTTATTGTCGATTTTGGCAGCTCATTTCTCTCTGCGCTTTTTTTCACCATCCTAAAAAAGTATTATTTGCATAAAAAGAATCAATGATCGTAAAGTCACCAAAAGAGGAAAAAGACGAGCACCAAATGATATTTAAACAAGCGAAAATTTACATTAAAGCAAGAGAGGCTACTAGGGAGAGGGACTTTTAGAAAACCGCAGAGAAAGGTGTGGAAGTCGACCGAAACGCGGACAAAACTTTCATTCTCTTCTTTTCTATTCCCTCCAACCACGACCATGTGTTTTTAATGGTCTTTGTTTGATTTTCCTCAAAATTTGGTAAGTTTGTCATTAGAGAATCGGAAATGAAAGTATTTTTACAGGTAACCCCTCTCCTTGACCACCTTTTGAATAAGGTTTACTTTTAAAAATTATTTTTCTAAAAATGTGAGTTATCTTAAAAATTTATACATTTCGAAAAATCACTATTTTGTAGTATGCAATAAAAAGCCGAAGTATTTCTGTGAAGCACGTGTTTCCATCAAACGGAATATAAGTTTCAATAGACAAATAGTTGCCCTGTTTCACAATGCCAGCCGCAGTTTTGAAAGCGCTCTCCAGAGTAAGTTGAAACAATGATTCAGAAATTCAGGAATTCGGAAATTCAGAAATTCAGAAATTCAATAATATTTTCGAAATTAATTTTCAGAGCGATCGTCAAACTGAAGGGCCAGGACGTTAGAATGAACTATGATCCGGTAAGATTTTCTTGAAATTAAAACTTTCAAACGTTTTCCAGACCGCCATCTCATACACCAGATTCCGGTGCAGCCATTTGGGTTTCTCGGAAAAGCTTGTCACTGTGGCTAAGCTCAAAAATCATTTTCGAACCCATTAGTTCAAACTTTTGGGGTTATATTAGGTTGAGCGAAAAGTCTTTGTAATTTTTTGATTTTTTTCGGAACAAAATTTATTCAAAGAACACGGAATTCAATGTGTGATATATTCACTGATAGTGTACATGACTTCTTGCCAACGCAATGGAAGTTGAGCGGTCCCATTAGCGTAGAACTCGGTAGATTGGAAAGCGAAAACGTCGTCCAACCATTTTTTTCACATCCTTTCTATCATGGAACTTTTGTCTAACAAGGAGATTTTTCAAGGAACGGATTAGTTGCTATTCAGTTAGAGCAAGGTCTGGTGAATACGGTGGATGACAGAAGACTTTGACTCCGAGCATCTGGAGCTTCTGACGGGTCTTCAAATTAGTGGGTGGTCTTGCGTTGTCATGAATCATCATTAAGCTGGAATTTTTCGGGCAATTTAATCGATAAGCCTGGAATTCTTTTTCCATTTGAGTGCTGTTGAGGTCCTCATTGATAATGACGCCGCCTAGAAGAATTCTTCTAGAGAAGACGTCTTCACTGTCCCACCAAATGGAAAATATAACTTTTTCTCGTGAAGTTCTTTTTTGATGCCCGTTTTAGCGGTTTCCTCGGTAGGGACCCGTCGTCTTTTTCTACTCGTCCCCAGTGATAATATTCTCACCCCAATTGATTTTGCGTTTCATAGTAAGCCGAGAATGTACCAATTCGCAACGTAATGGTTTTAGTGAATCCGTCAAAAGTGGAGGGGCGAGTTGACCAAACTTTGTTACCCTTCCAGATTCGTGAAGATGATCAATTATGGTTTTTGAGGATGGTTGAGACTTGCGCAAGCTCGCGTGACGTTACTCTTGGTTCTAATAAATTTGATTAGATAGGTTATCAAAAAATTTATCGAGACCTGGAGAGCGAATAGAGTGTTTTCAGAAAAAATCTTCTACATTTAATCTATGTAGTCAATAAATGACTTAAAATTTTAGTTGATAATCGCAATAAAATTCAACTCACAGAGCATTTACATAGACGGCAGGCCAAAATTCCAGCTTGAGGACATTTTTTCAGCATAACCTCATCTCTTGCTGAGTAGCTGACTTGCGGATTTTGTGCCTTAAGGGTGAACTGCATCAGTTAGACTTCTGAAAACCATTTCCAAACATTTTTAAAATAGATTTTTTTTAATACCTACCGTATGCTTTTTTCTGCCACTCCATCTTGAATGCACCGCGGCAAATTGAATGCTTTGATCCATCCGCCTTTTTTGTGGCTATTGTACGGTTTGTACGAAAAAGAAAAAAAATAACATCTTTTCACTTTTCTTGGCATTAAATAATTCTCCAGTCAAACCCTTGCTCCAGAAGCTCTCCGAGAATATACCGTTCTTCTCGTTCCATGAGGGATTATTAACGTATCAATGTATTTTTTGCCTTGTTCAACAAGAAGAAGACAATATGCCAAAAACACTCTCGTATCCGTAGAAAAAACCATTTTTCTTCACAAATCGATCAACTTTGGTGTTTTGTGGCTTCTGAAAATTATGAATTTTACATACTGATTCACATACAGTCTTTAAACGAACTCACTTCAAGAAAATTTTCGTGAGCCAGCTCGGAACCCTGATTTTTCTTTTCTCCATTTCGCCAATCAGAACCGTCTTGAATTCAGCCTTTTTTTTTTTAAAGTTCGGTTCTTTTTTTGGACGTCTTGGAAATTTTTTTTTTTTAAATCATTATCAGAATTTTCGGGAAAATCGGGAAAAATCTGGAAGGTGTTTCCAATGAATTGCTGCCTTTTTTCTCAATTTATGTTGAGACTTATCAACTTCTTGACGTTTTTCAAAAGTCTCTCTACAGTCTGCTCGGCGGTAATAGACCTGAAACTCAAATCATTTGATTCCTATCGAAAATTCCATTATCTCGATTTTTCTTCTACCTTTTGTCTCACGAACCGCCACATTCCTTTTTTGTTTCTTGCGCACCTGTCATCCAGATGGACGCGACCAGATGCTAAGAAGATTATGATAATGACTGGTAACGTAACGGGGTGTTCTCACGTCATTAATAATCTCTTTGAGATTGTATCGAGGTAGACGAGCAGATGGGAACAAACAGTTATAATTTGACAGACGATTACAGGAATCGTAGGCTATATTTAGATTTAATCTTCATTCAGAGACTATTATAATTGTGACAGAACAATAGATTGAAACTATTAGGTCATACTGGATCTTAACGTCGTCAGATGTAATACTGGAAAAGTGCAATTCTATTCAATTGGCAGATATACTGTCAGTTTTAGAGAAACACTTTTTTAAGCTCTGTGACTTTATTCTAAAAGAGTTTCAAAGGGCGTGGTAATGTCGAATAAAGACTTCTGAACCTCAAGATTGCTAGAAAATTAAAAACAAAACTTTTTTTCTAGTCATTTTTCCTGCTCAGCAAAAGGACAGAGAGCTATAATAAGAACTTCTTCAGAGTAGGGTACCGACGTTACATATATTTGAAGTGCAATACAAAATAAATGTTTTATTATAAATAAAATATTTTTCAATAAATCAGTCAAAATGTCAAAGAATAGGAATCATCAAACGTTGTCTGAAAAAAAATGTTCAGCAATAATTTTTGTTTAATTTTTCAATAAAAATTATATCACAACACAGAAGAATTACGATGGAATTTTATCCATTTTCACGTCTCCGCGTCAGTGGTTTCAGTCGATTGCTTTTCACTTGCAACTTCTGCCGGAGCATTTGAAGGAGCTGCTTCTGTCGGTTGCGCGTTCTTTGTGGGGCGAACATATCCTGGAGGCCCGAAGAACTTCTGAATAATAAGCTTCAAGTATTTTTTTTCTGAGAAATTCAACATACCCTTTTTGGTGGACGTCCCACTTTCTTTTTCTTAGAAGGATCGACTTCTTTAATTTTTCTCTGCACCATTTCACAAATCTGTAAAATATGAAATGAGTTTCAAAAAACGAAGAAAAAACGAGCTTTTTCTTTCTAATTAAATTGAAGGTAATTGTCTCGACAAAATTTATGAGAAGTGTTCGGATAGGGAATTGGAGTTCTGAAAATTTCGCAATATTTTAGAATAAACAATTACATTTCAAGAAATGAAACGATTAAAACAAAAGACTAGGAGAATACCAAAAACATGGGTCAAAAAACGATACAATGAGAGACTGCTACCTTGTCTTCCATCAGATGCAAGACAAAACTAGACAGATGGGACAGTGTGACCAAATGGGAGGTGACCTTGAAGAAAGATTGCTAATCTTCGCCCTCAGAATGTGCGTTCTGTGTGAAAAAGACAATTATGGGGTGCAGGAAAGATTATAAGCAAGAAGAGACAATTTCATCTCAATTAGATAAAATTAATAAAAATTCAGCGGGTAGAACTTAAATGAGAATACATTGTTTTTTTATATTTAAATAATGTTTTGTGCTTCAAAAAATCGAAAAGTTACAGGAAACATACCGAAATATTTTTTTTCGTTTTTTAATTTATTTTTTTGTAACTTTCTAGTAGCGACGTGGGACTCCTATAGTTTTGTTGAATTTACGAGAGCAATTTGTTTTATTATTAACTATAATTAACCTTTGCTAAGAGAACAATCGCAATTGACAGTGGGTAAGTAAAGAAAACAAGGCGAGAGTGGCAAAAGAACCTTCTCTCCGGACGGAATGGAGATGAACTGTCTGTCTACGGGAGAAAAGGACGAGGGTGTTATAAGGAGGCGTGGTCTCCTCGAAAAACAGCTAGGAAGAGAAAATAGTGAGAGATGTTTGATAAAGCACACAATAGAATATTTCCGGCAGATTTGGATGTCACTCTTTATGAACATCCCTTTTTCGAAAGTACAATTTTTGAAAAAACGACAGAGTAACTTTTCTGAATAGTAATTGTTTAATTGGTGTTAACCAACTTTTCGGTGGGTTTTCGTAAAGATGGTCAAAAATATCTGATCGGAGAACCTACAATAAATCCCAAATGAGACAAGACCACTTATTCCCCTTTGAGCTTACTTATCTCAATTCCATTGGAAGTGAACGAAAAACTGTGAATCAAATAAATCATTGTGATAATATGACCTACATTTTATTAGTCAACAAAAATGTTTCAGATTTTATGGGAACCGAGATAGTGGGCCTTGAAATGAAACAAAATGTTTTTGTTTGAGCATTGGTTGTGGATACTGCAGTTAAAACATAATTTGCAGTTCAAGTTCAATTTTTGATACCAATGGCATCACCATCTCCATGACCAAAACTGCCTATCTCAGCGCAAAGAATACCAGGTCACTCCCAAAGAGAGCGTCCATTCTGACACAAATCAGCAGAAGTCTGTCGCCATGCTCACTCGCCGTGTCACCGTCATGGATTCTGAAGGTCGTCCACAATCCAAAGTTGCCTTCATCGACAATGGCAGCACCCGAAGTTACGCTTCCCGAGATTTAATCAAAAGCCTGAACCTCGCCCCATGGGATGACACTTCAATCCTCCTTCAAACGTTCGCGAATCCAAAGCTTGTCCCAATGCACACGGAACTCTTCAAAGTGCACTTCCAAGTCAATGGAAAGGTGATCCCTCTCATACTAACCGCTGTACCAGAACTGCCAAAGCACATTCCCGCCGTGGATATGGAGGACGAATCGATTCATGATTTGCTCGCTGATCCCCACGCAGTCCTACCTCGTGTCGAAGAGAATCCAGACATCCTCATCGGATTGGACTCCATGCAAACTCTTCTTGGCAAACGAAGTGTCGACATTCTCCCTTGGCATGGTGGAGGTATGGGGAATTGAACCCAAAGGGAATTGTGTTGGATTGGCTGGTAAAGGGCAAAGGGGAAGAGACAAATATGACATTTAATGGTCATAAAAAGAGAAAAAAGTGGGTAATAAGAAGGGTCATAAATGCAATGGATGGGAAAGAATTCAAATGTACCATAGAGTACTGTAGCTACTGTAGAATCGAAAGCTACTATTTCGACAATTTTCTCATTTTGGTTTAGATATCAGAAAACAATCAACTGACGAAATTTAGGTAATTGAATCACGAAAACTTCATCAATTAACAGAAAGGGTTTACATTTCTCGCCATGTTTTTTTCATATCGTAGTTTCTCATATTTGCTGTTCTCTGCTCTACAAAAATCCACAAATTTTCCAAGGGCAAAAGAAAACCAATTCGGTTATGGAAGTCATAACTTATTTTTTATGTTGTTGGTTTTTAATTTTTTAGGATTTTTTGATTTGTTTAAAATAAATGGATGCGAGAACGTTTCGAGCTTAGATGTTCTTAGACTATAGCTAGTATAACCTTGTTTTGAGATTTTGAGTTTCAGTGATCAGATGGTTTTCTAGTTGAGGAGCCGAATTCCCTTACTTGGCTGAGGGGCGATATGTACTGTCTTTCGACGGTAACTTCGTGCCTTGTCTTATGTTAGCATTTTTAAAGCTAACGGTCTCGGACGTTTGTGGGTTGCTGATGCCCGTACTTGGCAAGTTTGACGTACCTGATTATTCCTTCTTCCTCCTCTGAATTGGGTCGATGCACTACTGTAATGCCTATATAGGCTTTTTATAAATGGGCACGGGTGGTTCAGTATTATAAGTAGATTTATTTAAATAAAAAAGAATAATAAAGGGGAAAAAAGGGAATTTGGGAAGAATGAAGATATGTCCGATCTTCTGGAGATGGTAGCGGCGGCTTCGTGGACTTGATTGACGGTAATGAGGTGACTTTTACAAGTGAACAATAAGTGACCATGAGTAGCGATAGTAAGAAGTGACAAAGGTATAAAATCGTTCGAAAATGTTTTAATCATTTGAACCATAAAAGTTTGTGGCCTAGAAAACTAACTTTGCCAAAGTTTGGTATAATGACCTAGACTTCGATTTTCACGCCTTTTCAGTTGATTTTCTAAAAAAAACGATTTTCCGAGGAAAATGTTCATGAATACGGTCTCAGAGCAAAAATCCGTTAGACCTAACTTTGTCTTCAATTTTTAGGTCTAGCAGGTCTGAACGTTTTCTTATGGGTGGCATCCAATTAGAAGAGTTTTTTGTGATCAATTCCAAATTATCAACACATTTTACGTTAGAAAACATTTTTTTGTATATCGGTTTTGAGAAAACCTGTGTTTGCAGACTTTCCAAAGTACAGTAACCAGACAAACTGTTAATAAATTGAAACCTCTCGACACGATGATCAGTAGAAGTTTCGAGAACTCTGTGTTTAGCCAGGAATCGCAAAGATGCAAATCTCGAAATTATTTAGTTTTATTTGAGGAGGAGATAATTCTACTTTAGAACTCATTCTGGCTGAGGTTTTCAGATTTTGTCATATGCAAACAGGAGAAGAAAACTGAAGTTGATGAGAGATGTCTAGCCAACTATGAAATAGTAGTAACGTATTAATTCTTATATTCTTATCGTATTAAAGCTAACGGTCTTAGACGTTTGTGGGTTGCTGATACCCGTACTTGGCAAGTTTGACGTACCTGATTATTCCTTCGTCCTCCTTTGAATTGGGTCGATGCACTACTGTAATGCCTATATGGGCTTTTTATAAATGGGCAAAGGTGGTTCAGTATTATAAGTAGATTTATTTAAATAAAAAAGAATAATAAAGGGGAAAAAAGGGAATTTGGGATGAATGAAGATATGTCCGATCTTCTGGAGATGGTAGCGGCGGCTTCGTGGACTTGAGTGACGGTAATGAGGTGACTTTTACAAGTGAACAATAAGTGACCATGAGTAGCGATAGTAAGAAGTGACAAAGGTAGAAAGATAAGCGAGCTTTTTTTATACGGAGAAAGCCCGGTTTCTAGAAGGATATCACAGGGATCAACTAGATAGGCACTATTCGTGGAAATCGTCGGGGATATGATAAGATAAGGATGTACTTTTTTATGTCAGTGGTGTGGGAAGGAGAGAAGGGAGGGAGAAGGAGAGAATTGTTTTCGGATTATATATGTTGAAGTGATCAAAAGATATTTTTAGTGTCCTCCTTGCTGCTCTTGGTACACCTCGATAACGTCGTCATCCTCTATCTCGAGCGTCTTTGGAGTGTCTTCGTCATTGATGCGACGTCCGTCAAAGAGGAAACTGAAATTTTGAAAAATTGATCGGCTTGGACCTAGAAATCACTTACCGCAAACTGTTGATAGAGCCTCCAGCGCGATCCGCATACGACTTCTTCACCTTCGCCATCGACGTTCCGAACCTGAGTCAAAATGGAATTACGGTAAAGTGAAATGGAATTACGGTAAAGTGAAATGGAATTACGGTAAAGTGAAATGGAATTACGGTAAAGTGAAATGGAATTACGGTAAAGTGAAATGGAATTACGGTAAATCAAAATGGAAATACGGTAAATCAAAATGGAAATACGGTAAATCAAAATAAAATTACGGTAAAGTGAAATGGAATTACGGTAAATCAAAATGGAAATACGGTAAATCAAAATGGAAATACGGTAAATCAAAATAAAATTACGGTAAATTGAAATGGAATTACGGTAAATCAAAAAGGAATTACGGTAAATCAAAATAAAATTATGGTAAAGTGAAATGGAATTACGGTAAATCAAAATAAAATTACGGTAAATTGAAATGGAATTACGGTAAATCAAAATGGAATTACGGTAAATCAAAATAAAATTATGGTAAAGTGAAATGGAATTACGGTAAATCAAAATGGGTTAGAACTTCAGTTGTAATACATCTCAACTAGTAATTCTGTATAGAGAAAGGGAAGCCATCAGGTTGACCAACAACCACGTCAGTGAAGCCGAGGACCACTTCTCCAGAAGCTTCCGACCCCTTCTTCCTACACATTGTTGCACAATGTTCACCTGTTAACCTTTATCAATTTTTTGTAACACCCCACCACTTATTCTCATCACCTGCTCGAGTAAAGCATGTTAAGAATGACCACCACTCTACAATTCTTGCATCCTATTCTGCTTGTATGGAGTCATCTGCTCTTCTTATCTCTTCACCTCTTTCACTCTTGTTAGGAACTTGATGGGAGGTGCACGTATGTGTTGCCCTCTGTCTCCCTCGACTCAAAATCTATCCTTTTTCTCTCTCCCAAAACCTTCTAATAGACTACTCATCGTGAGCCAGTCTGCCTTTTATCGACAAGACCTCTTCGCCAGAGCGGTTCGTTCTTATACACGACAGCTTCTGCGAAGCCTTGCCGATCAATTCCCCAGGTCAACTACCTTCAAGTTACCTGACCCATAAAAAGGCTGCTCTCCGGGAAAACTGTTGCGACTTCTGCTTCAGTCACTCCGGAGTCAGCCATCTAAACAGCTGAGCTGCTCTCCGGGAAAACTGCGGCGACTTCTGCTTCAGTCACTCCGGAGTCAGCCAGCTTAAACATTTGAGCTACTCTCCAGGAACACTGTTGCTATTCCTGCTACAGTCACTCCGGAGCCAGTCAGCTCAGAAACCTGTTCACTTGGATCTGTGTTACCTTGGACAACTGCGCCAAAGGCCACACCGTGAATAGAAGCAGTTCCTTCTTCTGCACACTACCGCTATGAAGCTGCCTCGGATTCTCACCAACACTGCTCAGTACAGTAGCGCTTGAAAACCCAATAGTTTCGAAGTAGTCGTCGGAAGCAGGACTGATGTTGGAACGAGATCGTTAAGTGTGATACTCTAGATCTGTGTGAATCTGGAGCCTGACCGCTTACGTCCAACAACCAGCAGTCTTATTTCGTTGGAAATCCCGACGAAAGCAGAGGAACTTCTATGGAGTAGGCCGTAGATAGTAGCCGATCAGTGCCATGTGCTCTGGAGAAGTATACTATGAGGACGGAAAGTGGAAATGGCGTGATTAATTGATTTTCGATTTCTACTCACATCAATTTTATTTATTTCTCATTTTTTTGTAACTACCTACCCCTGATATTGTATTCATATTCCTTACTTTACTGTCAGATATAAATTTTGAGCTGCAAATCACTCGAATGTTTGCTCACGTTGAGTATCATGAACATGCGATAGAATCAAACGACACTTGCCATATTCAGGCCTAGAAAAAAAATTTTCAATGTATGTCGGAATTTTCGAATTCAGTCTGGAATGGTGTGGAATCAGAAATCCCAGATCTAATGTGAACAACTTCGTCTCATTTTTGCTTTTTTTTGAAGATCGTTCACTCCTCGTGCATCGCAGATGGTCAAACTGGAATCGTGCACCAGCTTCCAAAACTTTCCTGAATCAACAATGATCTCAGTATTTTGACGATCAACACTTTCTGCGTATGATATGAAAACAGAGTTCATAGAATCACAGTATACATACAATAAATCAATCACAAATGTTGTGATTTGCAAAAAATTAGCGATCACAAAAATTGAATCGAAAAAGCTTGGACATCAAATTCAATAATTTAGAAAGAAGAATGGGATATTTTCTGCAATTTTGATGGTCAGTGGTTGATCGAGTGGGACACTTCACGAGATGGTATTCTTCCAAATAATTTCAATTAATTTTTTCGGAATGCCATCCTCCAAAATGGGATCGATGGAGCAGCGGTAGACGCAGAAGTATTCTATTGATCTTTGGTAAAAAATCAATGTTTGGGAACTGTAGTAAAAATGAACTAATCTACCTTTCCACTCTTCTTGTTGACCAGAATCTTCCGGTACAGTTTTTGCAGAATGAGTGATGCTTTTCGCTGTGAAGTCGAATGATGGTTTCAAAAAAGAATTTCTCCATCGATGAAAAAAAGAACGACTTGAATCATTCCGAAGAGCTGAACGTACTCGGATTTGTGAATTTTGATCTCTTACAATTTTCTGAAATTTTCCTTACGAGAAAAATTTTTTTAGTTTTGAAAACCTACAGTCTCTAGATATTACGGTTTTTTCAAATAGTATGAGTCGTAATAGAGACGGAAAAGAAAACGAATGTTTTTCCGTCTCTTCTGAAATCGAAAGAACAGGCAATGAAGAGAAAAGGGGCGCCAGATGGTGAAAAAAAACAAAACATGTTGATGCTTAGATAGTATGGACTGTAATAGAGACGGAAAAGAAAACTAGTGTTTTTTTTCAAGTCTCGAGATTTCAACCTAGATGTTAACTAAAAATTCAAAAAATGGAAACGTGAATTTAAACAATTGTTGACATTCTCCTTATGTTCCAAAAATTTTATTCTTATTCTAAGCTTGAATATGGCAAGAGTCGTTTGATTTTCTATCATATGTTCATGATTACTTAACGTGAGCGAAAATCCGAGTCATTCGCAGTACGGAATTTAATTTTGACAGTAAAGTAAGAAATATGAATACAATGTCAGGGGTAGGTAGATAAAAGAAATGAGAAATAAATGAAATAGAGTAGAAATCGAAAATCAATTAATCACGCCATTTCCACTCTCCGTCCTCATAGTATGCTTCTCCAGAGCACATGGCTTCAAACTTCCATTCGGCCTCCGCCTCTTCCATATCTTCTTTCGGGGATTATTTGTTTTTCCACGCCTTTTGAAGATTTTTCTTGATTGCGTCGATAGAATGCTGCGCTTCTCGGAAACGACTTCTGAAGGAACACGCATAGGAACGATTTCAAATGTTTCTTCTGTGCGAATGCATTTTTTGCAAAGTCTTAAACTTTTGGTCTTTCTTCGCTTGTTATTGTTTCTGGCTCTTGAGTTTTCCGACTTCCATCGATGCCTTCTTTTGAAGCACAATAGTTTCAGCATACTTGCTTCCAAGAGCAAGTCTCTTGAGTGTTTGTCAGTCTTTTGTAGAACTATGGAAAGAATGATTTTGAGACTGGTGAGATTCGGGTTGGGAATGTCAGTTTTTGGTCAGTATAGATCGATTTTCATAATTTAATAGTTATTGAATAAAAAAATTACCGTTAGAAGTAGACAGTTCGCCAAATCGGGTCGAGCGGCGTTCACGAAGGCGGCTAGACATGCTGTTTGAGTGATGATGTTGACAGTCTGAAAAGGTTAAATTCGGAGTATGTATGGTTGTGATTATCTGCCTCATTTTGCATTGATTGTATTTTCTGAAACTGGTTAATTGTAGTTTATAATCAAATAAACCTACCTAACTTATTTTTTTCTAGTTTTTGGAAATTTTAGTTGTCGATCTGATTTTATTATGATTATCAAAAAAGGGTATTCAAATTTTTGGTAGAATGTGAGAAAAAACAAAAACAATTCCAAAGTAACAGACGTAGGAAAAAGCAAGAAAAAAAATGACGGTGTTATTTGTGAATTGTTTTTTTTTTCTTAGGACATGAAAACAACGGTGTAAGAATTGAAAATCGAAAATCCCTAAATCTGAAGATGAAATGTTACCACTTCTACTATTAAAACTATGGCTACCGGCTGCTCAAAAATCTTTAATGTGTTCTAAATGAAATGGCTGTAATGGGCGCGTTTACTGGAAAACTATTCCCTACAATATTTCAGACTATCAAAATGAAGATTTTCAGAGTTTAAATAAGACACGATGAAAATACAAAAGAAGACATTCTTTACCCATAAGATGGTCCAGTCTCATTGTAAACTGAAAATAAACCTAGGAAAGGAAGACTCGGTGGCGTGAGTGCCCAAATTCGCATAGAAAAATGACCAAAAATCCAAATTTCGATTTTTCATTCAGCTTTAACGACTCGCGACAATTTCACAAGAAAACAAAGGCAGCGAAGGCAGCGGAGAAGAAAAATGCTTTTTGAAAAATAAATATGTGCAAGCGAAAATACAAGTATGACACGTCCCAACACACCGCCAATATCATTGTTGTGTGTGTGTTCGTGTCAGCGATTGCGCGGAGGATAGGGTGCATACACAACAACAACCTCTGCGGACCACTGACCCTCGCCATTCTCTTTACCCCGTACCCACGCAGTGTTTATGCAATCCCCGTTCGTCTTTCCTATCTTTTTCTGCAACGGTATGCATTTGAGGATTTAGATCGCCAACTTGAGCTGTGGGTTTGTATTTTTCTGGCTCAAATTTGTTGTTATCCTTGCATCCAGCCAATAGTCTTAATCTTTTGCTTTTGTATTTTTATAAGTTTTTTTTCTGATAATAATGCCACCGAGTTCGACGATTATGAAATAGATAATTTTAGTTTTTGATATTGGAGGAAATGCTTCTGTTTTTTTGTGAGCTGATGTTTCCGCCGCAGCAGAGTCTTTGTTTTTTTTTCAATTGTTGGAATTTTCGCGACAGCTGAATTGTGAATTGAATTGTTGTTGAAATTCCGTCAAAAATCTCAGGTGGTCCTAAAGATATTGAACGGTTGAAAAAGTGTGTTTGGGCCGTGTGCTAATACCAGAAGAGGTATGGGTATCAAATTTTGGCTCCCGGGGTATTTTTGAATTTAAAAACGAATGGCGCTCACAGATTTTTGATATCTCTCACCGTTTTTTCATAACAGTGAAAATAGAGGGAGGTCCTGATGTTACTGTATATATATTTTGGAATTTTCAAAACCCCCAAAAAATTTTAGTTCTACACTTTGGATCATGGATTGGTGGAGATGGAAAGGACTGATGTGCCAGTAAATCCTGGCGACTGATGTGATTTGTTTGATGAAGTGAGTTTTTGCTTTTTGTGTAGCTCAGTTTCCATGAAAGTTTTTGAGAAGTTGTTAAATAACAAAATTTAAAGGATAATACGTTCCAAATTTATTCGTTCGCAACTTCCTGATTCTCTTCAAAAGAACCGGTACCGGACAAAAATTATTTTTTGCCTTATTTAACGACAAGATATTCAGGGTACTGTATCTCAGTTCCTATAATACTTATAAAACATTTATCAACTGAAAAATGTCAAGGACATTGGTTTAAAGGTGATATCCGGCGTACAGTATCTCAATCCCCACGATAACCGTCCAAACGGTTGACCAACAAAATATTGAGCATAAAATGATAAACATTTGATCAGTTGAAAACTTTTCGATAGCTTTCGAAATAACCGAAACATGAGAGATTCTAGAATATTCTACATCTTCCAGTGTTACGAATACTCCGAAATCACTCGATGTGAGGTGTGGGCAGAGAATGGAGAGGTCCTTGAAGACGTACGCTATCACTCCAAACGTCTTGCAATTGCCAAAAGATATGGAAAAAAGATTCCGCTATCGGGTCTGATCGTCATTCCTCAAGTACCTTAATGACCCAAAGGACAAGTTTGTGGACTAATTTGTTAGTTGGGTTGTGGGATTGGTAAGATTTCTTACGAACTCGACTCTGAAACTAACTGATTATATTAAAGCCAAATTCAATCCATCTGGAAGCTCGCTCTTCGAAACTGGCGACATCTACGTCGTTGCCACCAGAGTCCACCGTTATCCCAATGCTGAAGTTTCTACGTTCATCGAATGCTGAAAATGCTCTATCTAGATGGAGGAAGACCAATTTTTAAAGCATATCCTTTAATTTTGCCTTGTTTTTTGAAGCTACCGCAATCCTTCATCTTCCACTTCAATCTCAAACCCCACACTTTTTGATCCATTCTATCACTTTTCCGCACTTTCTTTCACTGAAGAAACATAAATTTGTCTGTCTATATACTGGTTTTGAAATCTCAACAATCGGACTCAAACTGACAAAGTTACGATTTTTTGAGAATACAACCATTTTTGGTACTTTTTGGACCATAACTCCCAAAAAAAATTTTTGTCTGTGATCACGGATTGGTTTATTTTTGATGAACGACACATCTCAATTTTGAAAATTCGAAGAGAAGTCAATATTTTGACCGAAACTTCGTTGACATTCAAATTTTCAGAAACAATATCATTTTGCTAAATTCATTCACAAATGTTAATTTTACAAAGTTCTCCAAAAAAAAACTGAGACAAAATCGTTCACAGCAAAACTGTGATTCTTGAGTTCAAACCATTCCATAGATTCGAATTTTTCGCCTTGCATAGAAAATCCCTTCTTATCTGCCTAAATATGGCAAGAGTCGTGTGATTTTCTTTCAAATATCCATGATATTCAACGAGAACGAAAGACGAAACACGAAGAATTCGTTGTACGAAATTTATTTTTGACAGGACAGTAAGAAAGAAAAATATAATTTCAAGTAGGTGGATATAGAAAAGTGAAACATAAATAAAATAGAGTAGAAATCGAAAATTAATCAATAACGCCATTTCCACTTGCCGTCCTCATAGTATGCTTCTCCAGAGCACATGGCTTCAAACTTCCATTCGGCCTCCGCCTCTTCCATATCTTCTTCTGTGGATTCTCTGTTTTTCCGGGCCTTCTGAAGATTTTTCTCAATTGCTTCGAGAGAATTCTGCGCTTCTTGGAAACGACGTCTGAAGGAATCCGAATAGGATCGATTGTGTATGTTTCTTCCATGCTTATGCGTTTTTTGCAAAGTTTTCAACTGTAGGATTTTGTTCTTTTGTTCTTTTTTCTGGCTCTCGAGTTTTCCGACTTCCATCGATGCCTTCCTGTGGAGCACAATAGTTTCAGCGTACTTGTTTCCGAGAGCGATGATAAGTCTCTTGAGTGCCTGCCGCTCTTTTGTAGAATATTCAGTATTTGGCTGTTTGATCGTATTGGTGACTGTTCTGACGTTAGACGTGTTAGCAGTCTCTGAAAAATTGAATAAGTTTCATTTCGTTGATTTTGAATCTCAAATGTTGAAAATTATGATTTTGAGAATAGTGATTTTCGGTTCAAAAATGTCAGTTTTTGATCAGTATATATCGTTTTTTAATTTTTTAAAAATAGTTTCTGAATAAAAAATTACCTTTAGCAGTAGACAACTCGCCAAAACGGGTTGAGCGGCGTTCGCGAAGGCGGCTGGACATGTTGTCGGAGTCATGATGTTGATGGTCTAAAAAGGTTGAATTTGAAACCTTCACACTTGATTCAAACATTGTGAACAAACTATAGTGATGTTCAAAAAAAGAAACGAGTTTTTGAGAATTTTTTGGAGACGCGTAAGTCGGTTTTTTTTTGTAACTCAGATCGGAAAATAATTTTCTCTATTAAAACACTGTTGACCCCAATCCTGCCCTTTTTATTACGGGTTTTACAGCATTTTCTTACCTGGAGTTTGGACTCTGTTCTCATCTGACCCGTTGTAGACAGTTTTGAATGATTTGCGGCGCTGATCCATGGTTTCTGGTGTTGATTGTTAGAAGGTATATCGAAGAAGTTAGTACTGCAAAAAAGAGTATTCACATTTCTCGTAGATTGAGAGGACAACAAAACATTTCCAAAGTAACGGATATAGGAAAAAATAAGAATAAAACTGAGAGACGGCGCTATGTGAGCAGAATGTCACAAAAAATGAGCGAATTCACTGGATAACTATACACTATATTTTTTCAGACTATCAAAATGGGGATTTTCAGAGTTTCCATGAGAAACGATGATTTCTTATTCAGCTGACAATTTTTAAAAAAAACGAAGACTCGGCGGCGGCGGAGAGAGAAATGCATAAGAGAAAACCCATGCAGGCGAGCGAAAAAAAAAGAATGACACGTCCCAATTTGGCGCGCAATACACAAAAACACACCACCGATTGGTGTGTGTGTGTGTGTGTGTTGGAGTATGCGATTGCGCGGAGGATAGGGTGCATACACAACGAAACCATTACGGACCACTGACCCTCGCCACTCTCCCCGCCCTGTGTTTATGCACTCGCAGTCCGTCTATTCTTTCTTTTTTCCGTTTTTTTGTGGTTTCAGCATGCCAACACGGGCTGTATCTTTGTATTTTTGTTGCCACAAACATGTTTCCGCCGCCGTAGAATCTTCTTTTTCTAAACTAATAAGTTTATTGGAATTTCGCAACAGCTGAATGGTCCATTTGGTTCTTAAGTCATTTCTCTGTGCGCATTTGGCAACTTACACCACCAAGTCTTCCATTCCTGAATCTATTGAGTAAATTACGGCTTTACAGTCAATTGGAAGCACCTTATAAGTTCAATAATATTTTTATATATGGGTGACCGTTTTGGTATTTTGTCACCGTTGTTAATTTGTGGAATTCGCATTATCTAAGAAAAATTTTCATTTATAGGTGTTCCGGTCTGAGTACGAAATTTTACCACGTCCGTTTCTGCTTACAATCGTTTAATTTGGGCGAACTGCGTTTGATTATTGAATGAACATTTTGCAGTAATAAACACGTGTTCACCAATTCTTCAAGGAATTTCGAACAATGGATAAACCAGTCAACAGTGGTTCAGATGTGAGCCGGGTCCAAACTACAGGTGAGACGACAGAATCATAATTTGCACAAGAACCTTGAACATATGTTTCTTTCAGATGACCATCATCACGATGTAGAGAACATGTATAGCCGCAACTGTTACCCAAATTCTGAAAGATAGAAACACTGCTAAATGCAACAGTTTTTCACAAAATTGAAAATTCGTTAAACAATCTTAAATATAACTTTTCAGATGATCAACATCATGAAGCAGACAACATTTATAAACGAGTCTATAAACGTCTCTCAAAAGGAATTGTTGAATGGTCAACTACGAACGTAATTTTTTTTAATTTCAAAAATACCAAAAACCGATCGGAACTGAATATTTTCATCAGATATTACTCGAAGGATCATTTCAATTGAATAAATCACACTTTTTCAGAAACGACTAGCATGTCTAACGTCCAAACTGCCGCCAATACAATCGATCAGTTGAAAGCTACGAATTCTAAACAGGACCGAACCGTCAACAATACTAGCAATCAGTCAAATGCTACCAATTCTACGGAGGACCCGCTGGCTATTAAGAAAGCGATCATTGACCTCGGAAAAAAGTACGGTGAAACTATTGCACGTCACAAAAAAGCCTCCGCGGAAGTAAAAAAAGCCAAACGCTCGGAAAAAAGTCACAAAGAAAAGCTCGAAGAGTTGGTTTTGAAAAAACGGGTCTCTCAAAACCAATCGAAATGGGACTCCTACTCCCGTTGTATTCGTGAGACATTCGAGCTCATCCGTGCAAGTGAAGAAGATATCAAGAGAGCGTTGGAAACCGAGGAATCCACTAAAGATGACATGGAGACGGCTGAACCGGAATGGAAGTTTGAATCGATGTGTTCTGGAGAAGCATACTATAAGAACGGAGAGTGGAAATGGCGTAATTAATATATCTACATATATTTAGTTTTTTCTCTGATCTTCACTTTTCTGTTCCTTTGTCATCAACGAGAAACCGTTAGCTTTGATTCTCATAATTAATTGAATCACCGTTTTGTATGCACTCACCCCGTGACATTTTATTATCTCATCTCTGACTGATTTTCAAAATTTAATGAATGTATTATTTAGAAATATTTTGTTGTTGTGTTCTCTGATCTAAGAACACAATGGTATTTTTTCATTCCAAATTCCAAAAAAAGTTTAGGAACTAGATGTTTTTTTCAGTTTAGCCCAACCTGAATGTCGCCCTAAATCGTCCCAGCAAGATATGGCTCTATGTAAATTTGTGCAATTGGAATCCAAATTTCCTAATAAAAATGTTTTTTTTCCAAATTTAAACTCTCAGAAGACAAGCTGCACGGCCCGGGTGTGTCTTTAAAACTTCATAATGCAGCTCAGCTCGATTCAGCTGTAAGCAAGAGCGAACAGTCAAAGGCGCAACTCCCCAAAGGGGACATTTTGTTAAAGAAAACCTTTATATTCTGAAAACAGTTGAAAAGAAAAACAAGTTCTAGTTGAATCGATTTGAAACATTTTCTGAGAACTGAGCATATAAGGAAGACTAAGAATAGTTTTCTTGCACTCAAAAAA